TCACTGCACTTCCTATGTCATCCATGAACTGTGTACATAAGTCGGCTGCTAAGCATGGGTCAAGATAGTGCCGTATGAATGAACTAAAGCCCGTGACTGATTTGCTTAGACCTTGAGCTAGGCATTTGTATGCATAAGTTCGTGAACCGAAATTAAATGCCAAAAGTTGGACTGAAAGGTCATCTGCCATTTGCACACAGTGGTATGCTTGCGAACAATCAAGTTTGGTAAACAAGCTCTTTCCTGCGAAGTGGTTTGATGCATCTGTCATGTTTGAGATCGGAAAGTTGCTGTTGATATAGTCATTCTTCAGTGAATGATTTATTCTTCTGAGGTCAATCAACATCCGCAATTTACCAGATGGTTTTCGATGTGCAAACAATGGACTGCTATATTTTGAATGTGACAATGTTGTTATAAGTCCATAATAGTGCATTAGGGCAAGTTCCACTGTCAATTCTTGTCGCAAATGTATCGGCGTAGGTGGGCCTTGTGTGTACAAAGGTCGTGTGTGTTCCGGTTTCAGTTTGATTTTGAGGTCGGAATTGTAACCAACATCAAATCTATGTTTGGCGAAGATGTCCGAAAATTCAACAAGCAAATCTTCTACTTTTGACCTTTGGTCATGTGTCAATACCGAGTTCTCCCACTTAAAATTCTTGATAAATGTCAATCGATCTTGAAAGTTCATTTTTGGTTCAATTTTTTCAAGACCTTGAAAATGAAGAATTTGGTCGTAAATGTCACGTTGGATTTGTGGAAGTAATACAGGGTTTTGACATGTTTCAGGAGTAGGAAACCAAAATTTTTCATACTCAGGTTGACGTTGCTGTTGAGACTGCTGATTATCACAATGTTGCTGAATTAGCTCGTTAATGCCCATTTCAATATCGTCTGGATTATTCATTTTTGCAAAAGCAAGCATTTCTGCATCAATTGGTATTAGATTTTCTGCTTCAGTTAGAGTCAGAATTGAAAATTTTCCAATTTCGGTTTTGAAAGGCAATGTAACATGATGATCAGTGATGTTAAAGGCTGTGATGTATAGCAGGTTATTTGTCAGAACTTCACTAATTGAGGAAGTGAATGCAATTTCGCAATTTTCTTCAAATTCTTTCGATGGCATTACGATTCCGGTTGTTTTTGCCATGTCCCGGCATGCGTCCTTTAAATGACATTCCACCAGAATGGTTTGATGCGGAGCTATTGTTTGACGTTTTGTTAGAATTAACGGGAATTTTTTCACTCGATTAATTCTTCTAGGCTCGTTTGGAGGTTTTATTTCGTTGATTTGCAGAGTCAAATCTGGGAAATGAAGTAAATTATACTTGGCACAGATATGAATGTGGTGTTTTTTGTAGAAAGGGTTTCCTAGAATTATTGAGTTGGCTGCATGTAGAACGAGAAAAGATTCTACAAATGTCATGTCTGCCAATTTAAATTCCAGTGTTACTTCTGTTTCAATTGGCACGAGTTGTCCTCCTGCCATTCTTACTCTCTTAAGTTTTGATTCACTTATTTTAAGAGGGCGGTATAAAGATTTTTCATCTTTTAAGTCGTCAAATGTCTGTTTTGAGATGACATTTGCGCAGGCTCCTGTATCAACCAGGGCTCTTCTTTGTAATCCCGATGAGAATCGTAATTTTGTGTACGTCAAAACTGTTCCTTCCGCAGGAATTACTGCGTAAAGGTTGATTATCTCATCAGGTGGAATTGACGGTTTTGATGATTTAGATGATTGAAATGATTTGGGGGACTGACTCGGTGGCTTGATTAGTTTTTTGGCTGATTCTGAAACGGAAATGATTGACCGTGTCCTTGTGGTTTTTGTCTCCACCAGCATTGGCTTGCCGTATGGTTGAATTTACCACAAATGTCACAGAATTTGGCTGATGCTCGAACCATTGGTTCGAAAGATCCAGATGGAAGTTGAATGTCAGCTTGCGCTGTCTGAGTTCCATTGAATTGATGTTGTTGTGGTTGCAGGTAGTTCGCGTTTTGCTGTACCTGTGCTGGTTGAATCTGCACCATCGACTGATTTTGCTGCATATTTGGGTACTGTTGGTATTGATACCATGGTGGATATTGCTGAGGTGCAATTGGTCCCATATTTTGGAAATTAGTCTGATTATTGTTAAATCCAAAATGATTTTGCCAGTTAGATCTGTTTTTTCCTTTCCTGCCACTTTGCTGCTGTCCAGGCCAATTATTTTGGTTTTGGTTACCACTGCACTGACTGTTTTGGTTTGCGTTGTTCTTGTTTTGATGAGAAGGCGGATTCAATTGTTTCTTTGACTGCTCAGTTATTTGTGATCTCATTTCGTTGATCTGCTTCTCAATTTGTTCCTGATTTGTGGACAATTTTGTGAGAGCACTGATCAAATTTTCTGAGACTCTGTCGTTTACTTCATTAAATCCGTCTTCTGGGTAGTCTTCGTTTCGGCAAACTTCTCGGATCATGATCTGCTTCTTCGTCAAATTACACAATTCTTGGACAGTAGTTGCTTGTGGTTGCTCCATCAATTTTGATCGCAGCCAGTTTGGCATTCCTTTTATGAACAATCGTTTAATTTGTTCATTGCGATTGTCATTTACTGCATCTATTCTTTCTTGTCGTTGTGCAGTTTCTCGGTGAAATCGCGCTGTGTCTGCTACTAATGGTGCTCCGTTTAATGCAACATCGATTGGGTCGACAGCTGGCAAATCTGGGGTTGGGTACGCTCGTTGCGCTTTATTTGTCAAGTTCACCAAGAAGTTCTCGGGTGAATCGATTTTAGGATCGTAACGTAGCTGTTCTAATTTCAGTACATGGATTTCTTGAAGCTGGGGATTGCAGAAATGATCCCTTAGGGCGCCAAGACTATTCTCTACGTTCGCTCGAATTGCTGCTGGCAGCGTTTGGTAGAATCGTAGTGCCGCTTCTCGTAGGTGTAGTTGCAAGAAGTTCGCTTGCTGACCAGGAGCGATTCCCGCAACTCCGATGTATCCTCGGAACAATTGCTCGAATTGCTGGAAGTCTTCTTTGTCCGTTCCACCGTATGGTGCGACCGAAATTTGCGCGTGTGCCATCTTATTACAGTTGAATGATTATCAGATTTGTGATACAGTTAATGATTGAGCACAGCACTTAGTCGATTTAAGGGGGGCACAAGAAAATTTTGCTAGACTTTCCTTATTTTGGATTATTGAACCTTTATGCATCTATTGCTTTTCTGATTTTGGTTATTCTTTCCATCAGGGTTTGCTAATATTTCCGTTACTTCGCTTTTTTTGGTTGGGGAACTTATTAGTTACAATATCAATTTACTGCAAGTGAGTTTTGAGTTTGTTTTTAACTAACTGTTTTGACGTTGGAAACCTTTCATCTACTTCCTTTTCTGCCTCTTCAGTAGCTCACTTGACATACCATCTGACAGAAGTAGAGAAGCTGTAGGTCACAATCCACATGTCTGCTTGTAGATTGGAAAAAGTTGTCAGCTCAGGAGATGTTGAAAAGTTGTGGTTGTCTTCTTTTTTCTCCCTGTCTGTCAGTTGTTCACTGGGTTTTGCTCTGCTGCCAACATCTGAGCATTGCTGTGCTGATCAAGATGTTTTTTTTTTTCTGCTTCAGCAAAGTAGTGTTGTCACTTTCTGCTCAAATTATGATGTTTGGAATCGCCGATGACTGTTTTGAATCCAGAAGTTGAAATTCCCGCGAAAGTCACCATATAATATTCCGTATCTGGCGGATGGATAATACGGGTATACTGTCGTCTACTGTTATGCGAGCTGTTCAATTGGTAATGTTATTTAGCACTACTGGCTATCAATTGTATTTAGATTGGATTCATTATTTAGATATGTCTCGAGCGGTAACGACCTATCTTGCTTTAAAGGATGCTGGTTCCGATTCCTAGCTTCTGATATTTCGCAAGTCGATCGGCGCAAGTAAGGGCATGATTGGAATAGTTTATTAAGTTGATCTCTATTCAATTGATTCGTAGCTCGGTATAAATCTCCAATGATTGGTATTAATTACCATCAATGTTTACATAGTTAAATAAATATATTATGCAGCTCTATTTTAACATCAAGGTGAATTATGTAATCTATTCGGTTCAGATGGTTAATTAGAATGAATGACATCATGAAGGGATGATGTCACAGTAGCTTACAAATTTTTTAAACAATTTTCACTTGCTCGAGACGAATCAATATGAATCTTTACTCTAAATTCATCTGAAAGAAAATAATGCGAGCCTTTTTTTCTCAACCTTGAGAAAATCTTTTTTTGGAAGGTTCCAAATATCGCTAAAAGCATGCTTAAGAGGGCTTTGATATAAAACAATCACGTGAACCGTGTTTATGACGCGTGTTTATGGGAACTTGATTTCGCCTAGACAAAAAATAGTAATTTTCAGAGGTCTGAACAAACATCCATAATAGTTGTAGATAAATATTGAGTCTCCCTCGCTCCCCATAACTGCTTACATTCAATTCAAAACGGAAACTCTCAATCATCATTGATTTTCAATTTTTGGAAATATCTAACTGCAATGTTTTACATAATGGTGTCAACAATTTCATTATAAAGGTATAAATATATTCAAGGAATTTGATGTTTTAAGAGTCATGAACGTAATGAATACTCTTATAGAGGTCTTGGTGAGTTTTTTTAAGTTCACTCGTTTCCCTTGTCGAAAGGAAGGCAAACTCCAATGTCAAACAGTGAAAGTGTAAATTTCACGAAAAACATGATCGACTTCAAGTTTCGAAACTGGAATTTAATTTTCAGTTTTACCAGCGGAATTAAAAATTGTTTATTGATCCAGTTTTCTCCAATTGAGTTATTTTTTATCAAAAAAGTGTCACTCATAAGTTAATATTGAAATTCAAAGCGCTTCAAGGGCATCTATTTTTTTTTAAATTCGAAAGTTATCAAAAAACTTGTTTTTTTTTGCGTTCATGACTCTTTTTCCAACTGTCGGTTGACTATGTTTTCAAATTGTGTTGTGTTTCAGACAGACTGGACGTGATAGAGAGCGGCTGTCATGGCTTCGGAGGAGTAGTGGACTCTTTCAAGGCACAGTATGGCATGTCCCAATTCACCCCGTATGTCAGAATGTACATCAAGGAGTCTCTTCTTAGGGAGCCATGTATACAGCTGGACAACGAACACTGGGTTAGTGCTCACTTGAGATCTTAAATATCTAAATTCTAAGCAGGAAGTAAGTCAGTCGTTGGTTTCCTTGATTCAGTTAGAAAAATGAAAATATTCTATTATGGGGTGTACGGTGTCTTTTTGTTGATCGGGGGATGGAGAGAGTGATAAAGGCGGTTGCGCACCCCACCAGCCTCCTGTCTTCAGACTTTATGACACCAATTTTTGGCCGAACGATTCGGTTTGATAGACCGACGTAGTTTAGAGTGGGAGAGCGCGTGCAGAAAAAAATTAAATTCCAAATACAATAAAATGAAATGCTTGCTGGGAAAGCAGGGTATTGTGGCTTCTAAGTTTATCCGGCTTGAAAACTTTTGAGAATCTGCTTTAGCTTATCAGATTGTTTGAAGTTCTTTTTAAGAGTAATGAACGTAGTGAGTACTTTTATATAGGTCTTGCTGATTTTTTTTGTTCTTAAAAGTCTTAAGTTCAATGCATTTCTATTGTTAAAAGGAAGGCAAACTCCACTATCGAACGGCAAAAGTGTTAAAGGTCACGAAAAACGTGATAGATTTCTAATTTCGAAAATGCAAATTAATTATCAGATATCCCAGTGAAATAAAAGTTTTGCCTATTGATCCAGTTTTCTCAAATTGGGTTAACTTTAACAAAAAAGTGTCCATCATACATTGTTCTACAAATTCAAAGAGCTTTAAGGCCATCTATTTTTTCTTCGAAATTCAAAAATTGAAGATTTTTGGGGAAAAAACAAGTCAGTTTTTGTTTCAGTTTCATTGCGTTCATCATTTTTTTCCAACTGTCAGTTGAATATGTTTTTTTTTTTCAAATCAACAGATCCGTACTAACTAATTACTCTTTAATTCTAGTTTTTCCTGACATTGGACCGAACGAGAAGGGTGATAAAAATAGTATATATATTTACTAGTATTCAAGATAGTTTGCCGTTGCCGTGCATATAGTCCGCATATTTGTTATATCTATAGTCCGCAATTTATGTTTTAGGAAGCTGTTACTCTGCCTGAAAATCCAGTATCAATCAACGGAATGTATGTGTCGAATGTCAATCATCCGCCGCCATACCACTCGAACATCGCCCGGGAACCTCCCGTAGTCCAACAACGCAATCTTCCTCCGTCTTACACGCATCCACTTAACCTAGCGTCACATCCAGCGATGATGTCCAGCCAACAGCACGATTATCACGCATTCGATTCCAACTACGGCGCTGTTCCACCTAACGTGCTGAAGTCAAGACAGAATAATTCCAAAAACGGTGCTGCCAAACTGAACTTTCCAAACGTGTCGATGTATTCTAGCGTAGCTCCAGCTGTTCATCGTATTGAAAGCAATATAAGTCTTCCGGCTCATTTTTGGTCACCGACACAACAGCAAAGCTCAATAAATACAAGTATGAGTCCCTTCAATGACTTAACACCAAGGTCAAATGTTATGGGATCAGCAAGTTACTTCAGTGAAGGACCTATTATTAACTTCACTTATGGCAACATGTATGCAAATCAGAACGGATCCCACAGCAACTCACAGCTTGTTGTGAATCGCCAGGAAGGATCGTCGCCTTTCCTGGACTCTGTCGCTGGTCTCCCGATAGCTACAGGTTGCACACCCTACGGGAGTCCGTCGGTAGATCCGACAACTTTCGTCACGCCTTCGACCCACCAAATCATCAGTCGCTTAGGGTCCGGGTCAGGTGATTTTGTCTCGCCTTACAACTCAAATTCAATCAGTGGAAACTTTAGCAACCTAGACGGCGGTGAAATTTTGAACTATAATGATAGTCTGTTTGAAAATCTGAATACAGGATGTTATAGTGTGCAGTATTAGCCAGTAGCTGAGCTCTCGTTTGTTACAGTAAATTAAAAACTTAAGTTTAACTTCTTGAGGTGTTAATCTTTTCCGTGCTTCATTGATGTGCCTTCGATGTTTTGAACATCACCTGGTTTGTTTTAATTTCAGGCCTTTTTTCTGTGCTTTGTTTTGATGCTAAGATTTGTTTTGTATTTTTTGTGGCCTCTACTTGCAGTAGATAGCAACCTTAAATGACCCAGAGCTTCTCAACACGGCCGAAGTAAGGTTTCAGTGACAGCCTATTTAAAGTATTTTTTATTTAAGGTCTCTGTCGATTATTTAGACCTCAATATCGTATTTATGTCCTCTATATGATGTCTTTGTCAAATCTAGGTTAGACTCTCTCTTCCTTATTGTAAGTTAATTGTCTTAGTCATCTCTCTTATGTAATATTATTAGTGCTTAATTGACCTTTGAAAAATTGACATCGCTAGTTTGTTAATTAGTTACCTTTTTCTCGGTGACCGAGAATCTAGTGTTTCCAGCTAGCTTTAATACTTGTGCAGTCTTATGCGTTGTTCTCGTAATCTTGTTTATTAGATGCATTTTCAATTTGAAATCTATTTATAATTGAAAATTTCATGAGTGACTTGTTTTTTTTTTGGTATATTTATCTCCAAAATTACTGGACGCTTGCGAGAAAACGCATTTGTGCAGTTTTCAGGCTCTAAAAAAGAATTTGGAGTCTAGGAGTTATTTTTTTTCTGCCTAAATCAATTAAATCAAAAAACGTAGTGTATTAAGGGTATTGTTCGACTTTTTTCCGTAAACATTTTTGTCCACAGAATCATCTGGACGTCTGTACTCATCTCTACCTTGTTTCATAATGTATTCAAGTTTCTAAGCGTTTCCGGCCCACTTAGCCTAGAGGTAACTAATGTGCCTGAGACGCAAAAGTCCTGGGTTCGAATCTGACCATGACCTGTTTTTTTTCTGTTTCAAATAAAATTTTCGGTCAATTATTTGTCTGCTTATCTGTTGTCGGCCTAGTTGTCATATCTTGAAATTATTTTTTTCTGCGCACATTTTTTTATGCTGTTTTTAGTGTTTGAGTTACGCCTATAGTTTGTAATTTTACTTACGGTGACTTCGTATTTCCTTTGTTTTTTTTGTTTCGCCAAAAAAATTCCTCGGCCCAAATTATATTATTTCGGCCTATTTTTCATCGGTTTCATGACCTAATTTTGGGCCGTTTCGAGATTAACACAATTTTAACACTCCCCTCTACACTGTTCAAGTTGTTTGTATGTTCACCAATCTGTTTGTTGAAATTTCATGCTTTTCGTTTTCGAGAATTTAAAAAAAATTTGTAAAGTTTTAGTTTTTCTCAGACATTTCTGCTGCTTTTCAAAAAAAGGGCTATCAAGTGAAAGACTGCTTACTTCCCTGTGCGCCTACATACTGCCCTTGAGTCTTTTTTTACTCATCTGTCTACAACCTTCGAAGTGAGGGATTGTTTGCCAGCTATTTTTGATTTTTTTTCGCTTTCTCGGAAACTACGCCTCTCAAATATGAGTTTTTGGCTTCAATGAATAGAAATGTTTTGAAGAGCTCTTCTGCATACGTGGCTACGCCCATTTTTTACACATAAAGTTATGGCTTTCGGAATAGTCAAACTTTTGACCGTTTTATGAATTTTTTCGGCTTTTCTCGAAAATTATCGTCATACTTCTGATATTGTGGGTTCAATGTGATAACGTAGTGGTAAGCTCCTCTGCTTTAGCGGAAAATAACAAAAAGTTGCACACAAGAAGTTATCGCCCTCTGAAAAGTCAAATTTTTGATTATTTGACCGTTTTTTTGAAACTTTTTGAATATTCTCGAACACTACCCCGCCATATCTGACATTTTGGATTCAATTCTCAGAACGGTTTGTGGGAAGCTCATTTGCTTATGCCACTACGCCCATATTTTTTTACACCAAAAGTTTTGGTATTTTGATTTTTTTGTTTCTTGAAAGCTTATGACTTCTCTCGAAAACTACCGTCCCAAATCTGACATTTAGGGTTCAATTCTCAGAACGGTTTGTGGGAAGCTCATTTGCTTATGCAACTACGCCCAATTTTTTCGACACTAAAAGTTTTGGCATTTTGATTTTTTGTTTCTTGAAAGCTTATGACTTCTCTCGAAAACTACCGCCCCAAATCTGAGATTTTGGGTTCAATTGAAATTAATGGTTGAGTGAATCCCTTCTGCACTCCCACATTCAATTTTTGATTATTCGACCGTTTTTTGACTTTTCTCGCTAACTATCCTGCCAAATCTGATATCGTACGTTTAATCGAAGCAACAGGTTGATGAAAGTCTACCTTTTTAACTGGCTATTCCCAGTTTCTTTAAGAAAATAGTTATGGCGCTTAAACAAGTCGAACTTGTGAAACTTTGACAGTTTTTTGGAAACTTATTGACTCTAAGCGAAAACTACCGGGCCAATTTTCAGATTGTGTTCAATCGAGAAACCCGGCTTTGAGAATCTGACCTGCTTAAGCGGCCATAACTTGCTCTTGGCAGAAAAACGTTATGAATTTTGGAAAGTCTTTTGAACGTTTTTTAGAAGTTATGACCATATTTTAGAAACTTTTAGAATTGTCTTAAAATTTACCCAATCAAATCTGAGATTAAAAGTTCCATAGAAAAAAAGGTTTCCGATATTTGTTCATGCAGAAGCTGCGACTCCTTAATTTTTTGTTAGAGAAAAATTATCTCTTTGAGAACATGGGTTATCTTAAATTTTCTTACTCTTCTCACTTATTTTAGTAGAGACACAACTTTACCTAGTTGTTGTCTACTAAAATAATTGAGAAGAGTAAGAAATTTTAAGGCAAAGTCCAATTTTTGAAATCATACTTTTCGTGCCGCATCAGTATAGCAAATTCGTTCAATATCAAACACGTGTACCTCCAGCTTTAGTTGGGCCTCCAGTTTTTTTTAATCGAGGCATATGAAAATTTGGGTTTACATAGTTTTTTCAATGTCTAATTTTTTTTTGCTTGTGTTGTATCGCAAGTGGTGCGAAGCAACTGGAACATACCTTTTCAAGTTAACAGATTCAGTGCTTAAGTTAGTGGGTTGGTTTATAATCAGTGAATGCTTCTGCGCATTTTGGCAAATTGTTTCTGCGCATCCTTGTTGCAGAGAACCGATTTCAAATAGCGTTGCATCAGGTTTTATTCTGAAGTTGATTTTTGTATTTTCTATTATTATCCATTTTTTCTTTGTTAGCGAAGTGAAGTTCTACAGCTGTGTGTTGTTTTTAATCTAAAGGCGCTTCTGCGAGCATAATGAATGGAAAGGGCTCAATACCTGCGGTATGTAAACCCTCTTCTGCTTAACATCCTTACTAGTTCGCTGGCTTTATTTTAATGGATATTGTATTGCTAGATTTTCTAGAAGTAATCAACGAAGCAATTGTTCAGTTTTTAGTGTTTAAGTACAAACTTTCTTTTTTCTAGCATAACTCGCAAATAAAAGTGTTCACTTTGGTGGCACTTTTGCTATAATCACGATCTGTAGTCTTGGAAATTTCATAGCATCTGTTCTCTGTTTTTTGTGGCTAGTGTTTGTGATTAATTGAGCGTCCGTGTCTGAGTGGTCAGTGCGTGGTACTCAAAATCTCACGGTCGGAGATCGAATCCGATGCATAGCTGAAGTTTCACTAATTCGAGGCTTATTTATATTTTTTCCTTTTGCACTTTATAGGCTGCTTTTTTCGTGTTCTGGCGTCCCCTCTGTGTCACACTTGCGATAGCAAATGTTTCAAATGGGAACTAGACTTTTTCTGTAAATAACTTAATTCACAGGACTCATCTCCTGGCCCCTTCTGCTGTAAAAGCTGCAAAAGATATTTTTGAGCATGTTAGCTTTTTAAATTTCCATCCTATTCGCAATTTGATTTTTACGTTGGTTGTAGTTTTACCAATTCGATCTGTTAATTAATATTTTGTTTTGTTTATTTTTCCTTTTCTCTTTTTTCAGCATCATATGTTCCGGTATGTATTATATTGACTCATTGGCCTCATTTTGCTTTTTTTGATAAACTAAAAAAAGTGTTTGTGTGCATTTGTGTTTCGAGAGGGAGGGGAGTTAAAACTATTTGTTCGTTTTCAAGCCTTTTTGATATTTTTTTGGCTCAAAAGATTTCTGACCGTATGTTTTTGTCTTTGTTTCCACTTTTCTTTTTTTTCGATGCTTAAGTATTTTCTTTAGTCTGCATGTTTTTTGTCTATGCAATTTTTCTTTTGCAAACCAACTTTTAATGAAGAAGTTATTTTTTACTCATTCCGTCCGTTAAGTTTTTTTTCAGGATAATTAGTTTCGTCCGTTTTGACCGGAAGTTTTTTTCAGGAAAACTAATTGTTTTCTATCTAGACGGAGGGACTTTTATTATTTTTTTAAATTCATCTAAGTTCATTTACTAATTGGAAGGGCAGTTAGGCTCTACAAGAACTAAAGTGCAAGTAAACATGTTTGACTTAATTTCGCAAAGGGACTTTGGTTTATAAGTTTGCCAGCGGTATAAAAATTTACTTACTGATTTGGATTTGTGTGAATCATGAAAGATTCATGAAGTTCAAAAGGGTTAAAGACTATAAATATTTTTTTGAACAAAATCTGTCGAGTTTTTCTTTGTTTTTGATTTAATTGACACTTTCTGTTGGCTGTGTTTATGTAATCAGCTCAGAATACGGAACTGATATGTTTTTTGATCTTAGTTCTAAATGGTCTGAGCAGAAAAGGTTTCTCGCATCATTTGAAGAGCAGTTATGTTCGCTCAAGGTTCATTGCTTAGTTGCCAATTTACAAACAAGATTTTTTTAAGTGGTATTGTTTTTTTTTCACAAGTCGAGAATCCACATTTTACCAAAAGGAAGGCCGATTAGCTTCTCCAAGAACGAAAACACAAATGAAGCGAACAAAAAACTTTTTTGACTGATAGACTCAAAAACGGATACCACGAATTAGATTATCGCAGTAGAAAAAATTAATTATGGATTGATTCAATTTTTTTTTTCAAATTGAGTTTATCAGAAATGTGTCAATTATAAAATACTTGAAATTGAAAGAGCTTCAGGCTTCTTTATTTGTTTTCTTTGAAACTCAAAAGTGAAAATTGTTCAGAAAAAATAATCGTTGACTGCCAATTTTTCGAGTTCGTTGACACTGTGCCAATTGAGTGTTGAAGATTTCATATTCAAAAACAATATTAGAAAGTTAGAAAGTGTGTCAGCCATGTAAGTTCGATGTATGTTTGTAGTTTTGAAAAGTGTGTAAAATATGCTCATTGACATCGTTAGAGTTTTATTTCCGTTGTTGCTTCAGTTTTTAGTTATGGTAGAATCAAGTCAAGGTGATTTAACACAGTCAACAGCTGATCAGTCTTCTAAACAAACTAGAGAGTGGAAGTACAAAGAGAAGCAGAAGCTGAGAGAATCTCTAACGCCTCTGCAATTCCACATCACACAAGAAAAGGGAACAGAAAAGTACGTAAAATTTTACGTACTGTCTACAGTGCATGAAATTATTTCATGTTTTAAAAATATACACAGGAAAGTTTCGGTAATTTTACTGGAGGAAAGAGAATTGGTTTTAGACTTTAACCTAAATTGATGCGAATGTACCATAACTATGGATATTTTGTGCTAGCGTGGGCGTTCACTTTGTTAGTTGGAGAAATAGTAAAAGAAAGTATTCGACTAAATAAAACGAAAATTAAGAAAATTTTTCGTTTTATTTAGTACGCTATGGGAGAACAAATTTGCCAAGTTTTGAATTTTTTGTATTGTTCACAAAACTTGTTATGAAAATCAACAGTTTTAAAAAAATATATTGGCTGTCTTTACGCAAGCAAAAGTTGTGTTATTGTATGAACTACCTTTTTTTCCAACCTAAGTCGAAAATATTGTTGCGACACAAATATTGTTGCGACAAAATGTACTCATTTTGAGTGTTCATTTTGATCAATAACCAGATTTTAAGTACAGCCAATGCTAATGATATTTACTCAGACTATTATAGTACAAATAGCACTTTAGTTTCAAGGTATCATGGATCTGTAGCGTAGAGGTAGGGAAGGAGGCCCACGACAAAATAAGAGGGTTCCCACCTCGGCAGGGTCGGATGTTTTTACTGAAATTTTTCGTATACTAGTTAAAATGCGTCCGCTCTATAAATTGAAGCATGTTAGTTGGTAATTTTCTTTTTCTTTGCAAATTGACTGGTACTACTCAAGCGTCATAATGTGCTTGCGTCACTTAGCAATTATGTAGACTCATGATTGGCGTGCGTCACATAAAAAATTTTGTAGACTCAAATTTTTACTCAATCAGTTTTTCCCAGTAGCGTTCTCGGTCATATTTTTGCTTGTGTATGCGAAGTGCAACTTCGCCTCAGTGTTAAATAATTGTTTTTTTTTTTGGTGCAATATCAAAATTAGGTTGAAAAATACAACGTTTGGGTATCTATAGACGAGCAAACCATATTGTCCAGTTGGCGTTGTTTTCGATTGGTAGTTTTTGTCAGATGGAAATTGCTATATAGTATCTTTTTCGGAAATGACGCTACAATGATGTCTGTAGCACAATTATCTGTATCGGTTAAAAGTTTCAATTATAATCTTTAATGACACCGATTTCTTTACGAAAATTATCCATTGACCTATTAATGCGAATGACAGCTATCTCCCATGTTTAAGCATAATAATTATGCATGTTTAACGAAAGAATTTTTTCATGTTTAAGCTAGATCATATATTTCAATGCTTGAGAAAAGTTTTCAAATAGTTTTCCGCAAGGTCATTAATTTTTCAGTATTTTTTTTCGAGGCCAAATTAAGTCTCTGTCTGTCTGTATAACTGCTTTTTTAATTAATTTGATTATGTCTGTCTACCCGTCGCCTAATTTTTTAACTTTCATCTCTTCTCTTATATATTTAAATGCGGGATTCACTATTTCGCCATGTTTAAGCTTTTTCAACGTATTATTTTTGCATGTTTAACAAAAGAATTTTTCTGTATTCTTTCGCAACTCCTTTTGATGTTGATCAATAACCAGCTTTTAAGTACAGCCAATGCTAATGATATTAACTCAGACTATTATAGTACAAATAGCACTTTAGTTTCAAGGTATTATGGATCTGTAGCGTAGAGGTAGGGAAGGAGGCCCACGACACCCATTTAATTAGTTAGTGATTTAGGTTAGTTTTTCTTATTTGTATTAAAAAGATATTTCACCTCCGATTTTTTTTCGTAAAGTTCTGGGGGTTTGAAAATTGCCAAATTTTTTATGTTTTGGACTAAATTATACGCGCTTTGAAGAGTTTATTCATAATGATGAGAGCTTATGATGAGAGCGTATCGCGAATTGTTTATGCGTGGCGAATTATCCCGCTAAACAAAATCGTTCCAAATTGAATTGAGACTAGCTAATTGGTCGTATTAATTTCGTACGACTCGAAATTTTTCACTTTGATATTGTCCAAAGTTTATAGATTTTCAACATTTTCTTTTCCCAAAATCTATTCGATATGAATTAAGGGACAATCGGAACATTCAGGGCTTTGCCCTGATATACGAGCAGTCTTGTTTTTTTTTGCTAGTCCGACCGGATATGATTTTTCCGAGTTTTTAGTTTTTCCGACTTTCAACATATGTGAAGTGGAGTGGGTTTCTTTTACTCTTGAGTTTAAACTTCATCAAAGAGTCCTACAATCAGCGGGACAATCTGAGAAATGTGTCTACGGGACAGTCTTTGGTGCAATATCAAAATTAGGTTGCAAAATACAACGTTTGGGCATCTATAGACGAGCAAACCATATTGTCCAGTTGGCGTTGTTTTCGATTGGTAGTTTTTGTCAGATGGAAATTGCTATATAGTATCATTTTCGGAAATGACGCTACAATGATGTCTGTAGCACAATTATCTGTATCGGTTAAAAGTTTCAATTATAATCTTTAATGACACCGATTTCTTTACGAAAATTATCCATTGACCTATTAATGCGAGTGACAGCTATCTCCCATGTTTAAGCATAATAATTATGCATGTTTAACGAAAGAATTTTTTCATGTTTAAGCTAGATCATATATTTCAATGCTTGAGAAAAGTTTTCAAATAGTTTTCCGCAAGGTCATTAATTTTTCAGTATTTTTTTCGAGGCCAAATTAAGTCTCTGTCTGTCTGTATAACTGCTTTTTTAATTAATTTGATTATGTCTGTCTACCCGTCGCCTAATTTTTTAACTTTCATCTCTTCTCTTATATATTTAAATGCGGGATTCACTATTTCGCCATGTTTAAGCTTTTTCAACGTATTATTTTTGCATGTTTAACAAAAAGAATTTTTCACATTTAAGCTATGTCGTATATTGCAATGGTTAAAGTTTTTTTCGATTTTCCATTTTAAATTCAGTGTTTATTTCATCAAGTTTAAAATAAGTCACCCAATAGTAGGAAAATGTAATAGTTTTCCCAGATTTTGCGATTCTGGCTTCCATATATGAATAACCAACTCCTGGTTGTTTACGAGATAGGCAATTTTCGAGATTTTTTAAAAGTTTCTAGAAAATTTAATTTTAAAAAATCTCTGTAGTGAGGCTCTGTCAAGGTACTCTCAGGAGTTGCGAATTTTGCCTACCAATTTTCACTTCTCAAATCCTTGTAGTTTTCGAGATATGACGTTTTTTATGATTTTCTCCGAAATTTTCAAAAAATTTGAAATGTTAAAAAATTCCAAAACTTTGATGATCTTAATCCTCTAAGTGGAATCTGTGATGGTACTCTCAGGGGGTTGTGAGCCTGGCCTCTGAATATGGCTGCTCAAATTTTTGCAGTTTTCGAGATATGATGTTTTTTTAGGAAGTTTTTTCAAAATTTTTCAGAAAACTTAGATATAAAAAATTTCACAAAAGTTGAAATTACCATCTCTGTAGTAAGACTCTGTCAGGGTACTCTCAGGAGTTGCAAATTTTGCCGCAAAATATGACTGCTCAAATCCTGGTGGGTTTCGAGATATGACGTTTTTTAGGATTTTTTCAAAATTTTTCAGAAAACTTAGGTATAAAAAATTTATAAAAGCTTGGATTTTCCATATCTATAGTGAGGCTCTGTTAGGTTACTGCCAAATTAGTCAATTTCGCCTTCAAATATGGCTGCTCAAATCCTTGAAGCTTTCGAAATATGACATTTTTTCTGATTTTTTCAAAACATTTTCAGAAAACTTAATTTTGTTTTTCAAAATTTGAAATTTCAACCCGTTAGTATGGGGCTGTTAGAGTACCTCAGGAGTTGCCAATCTTGCCTCCAAAAATGACTGCTCAAATATTTATAGTTTTCTAGATGTGACATTTATTGTGATTTTTTGAAAAAATTTTCAGAAAAATTGAATTTTTTCCCCTAAATTTGAAATTCCGAACCCTGTAGTTGAGGGGCTGTCAGAGAACTCTCAGGAGTTGCAAATCTTGCGTCCAAATGCTACTGCTCAATTGATTTTAGCTTTCGAGATGTGACATTTCTTTAGTTATTTTATAAAAACTTAGATATAATAAAAAAAACTTCAAGATTTTATGGTTTTTCAAAATTTGAATTTAAAAAACTAATTAAAAATACCAACCCTGTAAATTGGTGCTGTCAGAGTACACTCAAAAGATGCAGATGTTATTTCCGATAAATTCGGCTTTTTTGAGTTGTTAAAATTCGAAGCACTGGATGGTGCGTTAGACGCTAGTATTTTAGCAAAACTAGGAAGAATTGCTAAAATTAAATGAAACTCAGGTTTGAGATATCTCTTGAAATGTTTGTATCATCTGAGAATGATTAGGGATAGTAGATTGATGTGCAACTAGCAGAAAGTTCCGACCACAAAAAAATGGATTTTTTTTTGCATGTTGATGTTTTTTCTTTCGACTATGAGCAGATCTGAAGGAAAGCCTAAAAATATATATATTTTTTCGATAGCTAGTAAAGAAAATGCTTATGTGACTACCGATTTCATATGAAAAAAAAACAATTGAAAAACAAAAAAGCATTTGCATTTCAAAACTTTTTGCAGTTTAAAAAAAGAAGGAGCTAAAAGAAGCTTCAAAAATTATAATTTTTTTATAACTTTGTCCTTCTTACCCTGAGGTTTGAGAAATGATTTGCTTGTGAAACGGCTGCATTATTATTCATTTGTTGGATTGCTTTCTAACTACCTCAGATGAGATTTGTGATCAAACGCATCAAAGTGTTTTTTTACAAAGAAAAAAGCTATATTTTGTTTTTAATTAATGCTTAATCCTGTTTGTGTAGGTCGGCTAGCGCATCAAATGTTTCAATTTTCTCTCGGACAACTCGAATTTTAAGAGAAAATTGTTTCTGCGAGATTGAAGAAAGTTTCATTTAGTTTACTACAGCTGCTCGGATATTGACCGAGTATGAAATATTGACTTATTATTGATATTGACCGAATATAAAAAGGACAGAAATATGCAAAATTGTCATATTGTTTTTGACAGCCGCCGAATTGGAACAAATTTTATATTTCAAGGGTTTCGTTATGAAAGAAGCAAAATATTGCTTCATTTAATTCATTTTAATTGAATGGCAATTGATTCTTTTCAAAAATTGTTGTTCGGCTAATTTTGTTTTTGGTCCTCCGCCCACTAGTTTTTTGCCCATTCGGTCCTTCGCGCATGAGAATAGCCCACTTTTTGTAAAAGTTTTCTGAGATAATGAAAGTTCACTAGCTTTTTATTAGATAGTTCTACCCCTCAAGTTTGTTAAGGTTTAAAGCTCTCTGTATCATTGATCATAACAACGAAGGCGTTGCTGATTAGATACATAGACCAACTCGGGTTCAATCATACGTATTTTGAGCTTTGGTCAATAATTGTTCCGACTTTCGAAGAAAACGGAATATTTATGCTCGGTGTTTTTATTCGGTCAATTTTCACCGATCGAAATAATGATTTTTTTTATACCCCAGGAATTTTTTATACCCCATTGAAGATATCGACTTCCTGAGTTCAAATATAAAAAGATATTTCACCACCGATTATTTTTCGTAAAGTTCTGGGGTTTGAAAATTGCCACATTTTTTATGTTTTGGACTAAATTATGCGCGCTTTGAAGAGTTTATTCATAATGATGAGAGCTTATGATGAGAGCGTATCGCGAATTGTTTATGCGTGGCGAATTATCCCGCTGAACAAAATCGTTCCAAATTGAATTGAGACTAGCTAATTGGTCGTATTAATTTCGTACGACTCGAAATTTTTCACTTTGATATTGTCCAAAGTTTATAGATTTTCAACATTTTCTTTTCCCAAAATCTATTCGATATGAATTAAGGGACAATCGGAACATTCAGGGCTTTGCCCTGATATATGAGCAGTCTTGTTTTTTTTTGCTAGTCCGACCGGATATGATTTTTCCGAGTTTTTAGTTTTTCCGACTTTCAACATATGTGAAGTGGAGTGGGTTTCTTTTACTCTTGAGTTTAAACTTCATCAAAGAGTCCTACAATCAGCGGGACAATCTGAGAACTATGTGTCTAAGTGAAGCGATTCTGTCATCAGGACAATGTAGATGATACAATTAGGAGGACGTGGCTACAGTGATAAACTTATTAAGACAAACAAATGCCACTATTGGTAAGAAACCCTGGTTAAACTAGCAAATAAACTATTTGCAAGGTTTTTCGTCAATATTGGCCTTGATTTTAACGCTTTATTGGCTCATTTATCTCCGTGCGTATAGTTGAAATGGCTTCTTTTTTGTTGACATTTGTTTTAAAATGTTAGCCTCCATTGTATCTTTGCACTTGCGAAAACAAGTTTCTTGTAATCGGGAACTAGACTTTTTCCCCATAAACAACTTCTCTTACCTTATCTTAACTTGCTTTTCTTTGTTGTTTTTATTATTGAAGCTTAAGAAATTCCTTCCTGGTTCGCTCCCACTTGGCCTAGAGGTGACGCCGTTGCCCATGCACCCTAAGGTCAGTGTTTGGAGTCCCGGCCGGAACTTTTTTTCAGTGTGTATGCCATCGAAATGTTTTGCCGGTAAAATTTGAATGGTGGGACTTGTGTTTGTCTGCTTAAGTTTTGTCGACTTAGTTGCCACATCACGAATTTTGCTTTGCTGTAAGCAACATTCATTGTAGTTGCAAGTGCAAGTGTTGTTCAATGTAGTTTCAGGGGGAAATTTTTGTTAAATCATTTTTCGCTCCATTTAGCTGCTTAAAGGTTTTCGGCTTTGTTTCCTCTTCGCAACTTTCGTTCTGTTCATTATTTGATATTCTAATGTCTATCATCGTTGCCTAAAATGAACTTCTGTCGAGACTTACGAAAATTTAAATTTTAATAGACCTAGTTGTTTTTCGTTGTTTTTTCGATGTTTTTTGTTTGTTGTATCGCAAATGCTGCGAAGCTCCGCTTCACCTCTGTGATAATTTTTCTTCTGAGAAAAATGTCTTGAATAGAACGCGGCGAATACATGTTTTAGGCCCCACTCTGGCGCATATGTGAAATTATTTGAGACGGGTCGCTACACATGTGTAGTATGCAGTGAGCCAATCTTCTCCTCTGAGCACAAGTATCCCAGTCACTGTGGTTGGGCCACCTTCCACGATACAGTGTCTCAGTCCAGTACTGACAGGGCAGTGGACACTTTCGACGGACTAGTGCGCATTGAAGTCAAGTGCTCAAAGGTATGCTCGCTAAATGTCTCGTGTTTTGAAGTGGTGGATTCTAATGCATGATACAATAATCTTCGTGGCACCCTAAACAGGTCGTTGGCCTGATGGTGACCACTCGAAGCAAGCAGTGCTAGGATAATAACTAACCAAGTTTAATTAGCATATGTATTTGCTCCGTCTCGTAAACGAATTTATAATGATTTTTGGCAGTTTTTTTGGCCATTTGAAGATTTTGATTATTATTATGTGCATCAACTCGCAAGTAATAGATAAGTAAGGATGAGCTTTTAAAAGGAACAGTTAGTAGGTGTGAGATTTTAAAAGATGACGCGGAATTGAGTTTCGAATAATCAATATGTTGATTGAGAGGTAATCATGGTATCCGCGTGTGCAATGTCCAAAAATTTAATGCGTATCGGAGGCTATAAACAGAACCGCTTGCTCTGGAAGTACTGAAAATAACCTAAGCTAAGAAATCAACCTTCTTTGAAGAAGTACTGAACGAACGCACTAACCACTCCTAACGAAAACGAAATCTATTTTTCTAAAACTAACCGAAATGACGAATTTTATGCGCTGCACCTTGACGAGGTAACTAAAACAGCAACAGAACCGCTAATTCGATTAAATAAATGTGTTCTTGTGAATTTAGTGTGGAGCTCATATAGGTCACGTGTTCGAAGATGGACCGAAGAAGTTCGGAGGGGAGAGGTACTGTGTCAACTCAGCAGCCCTCAAGTTTGTTCCTGGATCCAACGTCAACCTCAGCAGTCAATCGACACCGGACTCTGTTAGCAATCAAAACCAAAGCAGTTGATTTAAGTTTGTTACAAATGTAGATTCTATGTATTTTCCATTAATAGAGGGTCAGATTTGTAAATACAGATATTATGTTTTGCTAGCTTACTTCCCATACGCAATATTTTCAATTGAATTCATTAGCTTCTTGAGATAGAAATTTGTTGTGAAAATGCTCTTTAGGAGTAATGAAGGTAGTGATTACTCTTTTATAGGTCGTGGTGTTTTTTCTTGGTTTTTGCTCAATTTGATTTTTCGCGGTTTGACTTTGATCAATTTTCAAGTTCAGTTCATTTCCTTTGTTAAAAGGAAGGCGAACTCCACTGCCGAACAGTTAGTTTTATTCTTTCCTTGAGTTTATTACTCTTTTCCGACTGTCAGTTGGCTATGTTCGTAATTTGTATCGCTCCTGAGCACTAATTTGAAGAATATTTTATTTTGGAGTAATTTATAATATGTAACTCAGAGTAGATGGTAATATATCAGAGTTGGATCGCTTTTCAGATGAAAATTGATTGAAATGATGAGCTCTAGAGTAGACATTTCTGCTTGAAACTAGATGGCATGATTTGTGGATTAAGAATGAACAAAATCATCGGTCGGTTCGGACGCTGGCCGATATCAAGTGCAATTCTCACCAGGCAATGTTCCTCCAGCAGTTATCGACGCAGTAAAACGGATGATTTGGACTCACAAAGATTCACTAATGTTCCCCCTGAAATGGAATACGATGTGAAATTTTTCAGAGAAAAAGATTTTCTAACAGCTGACTTGGACCCATTGAAGCTTTCGAATCTTTCGGAAGAGTCGTTACAAGATGAGTTAGATGATTCAGTGTTGTTCAAAAATTCGAACCCATTGACCAAAATACATGAGCTGAGAGACCTTACATCAAGTTTAGAAGCCATTTATAGCGAAGGATCGTCTTTGGAAGCATCTCATATAGATAGTAGCTTCGAAAAGAACTGGCTTTTCAACGAGTTCGAAGCACTTAAGTTGCAGAATTTAGAAGACAAAGTTAAAGTAAGAATCGCTGAAGTTCTGTTGAATGGGCAACAATTTGATCGCTTTACAGCTGCTAAATTTCCTACGGTTAAACGGTATGGCGGCGAGGGCGCAGAGAGTATGCTAGTGTTCTGTGATTCCTTGTTCGAAGAGGCTCCGAAAATCAAGACCGAAGATATCGTGATAGGTATCGCACATAGAGGTCGAAACAACTTGCTGACTACGTTACTGAAGTGTCCGCCTTCTCTTTTGTTCAGGAAAATGAAAGGACTTCCAGGCATTCCAGAAGACGCTCAGGAAGTAATGGACGACGATGTTCTGAGCCATATACGGATGAGCGTTGACCTTGACAATGGAGTGCACGTTTCCTTGCTTCCTAACCCTTCCCACTTAGAGGCTGTTAATCCTGTGGTTCAAGGGAAAATTTGGTCCAAACTCCACCGAAAAATTCAATTGGATGAAAAAGAGGCCTTCTTAGAGCATACTCACAGAGCCGTTGGTCTTATGATTCACGGCGACGGAGCGTTCGCAGGCCAGGGAATTGTCGCAGAATGTTTTAACATGGCTTACATTCCAGGCTATGATGTTGGAGGCTCGATTCATTTAATCACAAACAATCAAGTCGCATTTACAATGCAAAAAGGGTTTTCGTTCCGACACACGAGTGATATGGCTAAAATGATTAACTGTCCGATTATACATGTCAACGGGGATTCACCTGAAGATGCTTACAAAGCGGCGCTTTTGTGCTTGAAGTATAAACAGTTGTTCAGAAAAGACATCGTGTGCAATTTAATATGTTACAGAAAATGGGGTCACAATGAGATGGATGACGCCACTATTACGCAACCGAAAATGTATGACCTCATCAATTCGAAGAAATCACCCCCTGATTTTTATTTGGAACGGTTATCTCCATCGTTATCACAAGAGCTAAGTCATGAACTAGAGACCAAATGTGCTTCTTTTAAAGATTTTCTGAACGAGCATTTCAAAAATGTTGAAAATTTTCAGCCAGCTTTACAATCATTCCAAGGCAACTGGAAAACCTGCAGATTTGCGTCTCCAAATATTACAGCGTGGGATACAGGTTTTGATCTTCAAACTCTGAAATACATCGGCGTAAAATCTGTAACATTTCCTGAAGATTTCAACGTCCAGTCGAAGTTAATGAAGACATTGACGTCAAGAATCGGAATGATGAACAGCGAAAAGGGCATTGATTGGGCTACTGCCGAGGCCTTGGCTATCGGGTCACTCATGGTTCAAGGTCAAAATGTTAGAATAAGTGGCGAAGATGTCGGCAGAGGTACTTTCAGTCATCGTCACTGTCAAGTCGTTGATCAAAAAACAGGTGACATCTTCATGCCTCTGAGAGGCGTTAACAATGATGTCGAAAACAGCGGTTCACTAGAAGTGACAAATTCTATCTTATCGGAAGAAGCGGTTTTAGGGTTCGATTACGGGGTCTCGATTGACTGTCCTGAAACATTAGTCATTTGGGAAGCACAGTTTGGTGATTTTTTTAACGGTGCTCAGATTATAATTGACACTTTTGTTGCATCTGGTGAAAGTAAATGGGGTTTGCAATCAGGTATAGTGATGCTGTTACCTCATGGGTTAGACGGAATGGGCCCAGAGCATTCTTCTTGTAGACTAGAAAGATTTTTGCAGTTAACTGACAGCTTCGAATCATCGATCGATTCAGATCGAGTCAATATGTTTGTTGTTAATCCAACAACGCCTGCGCAGTATTTTCATTTATTAAGAAGACAGCAAGTTAGAGATTTTAGAAAACCACTCATAGTTGCCAGTCCGAAAAAACTAATCCGTCTGCCGGAAGCTAAATCGAATCTGAGAGATTTTGAGCCGGGGACTTATTTCAAACCAGTTATTGACGATCCGGTTTTAAAGAGTAATGAAACAGTGAAAAAAGTAATATTTGTATGTGGAAAGTTATATTATGCTCTCAACTCAGAGAGGTCTGCGAGAAATATCGGAGACGTAGCGTTAGTTCGTCTGGAGCAACTTGTTCCGTTTCCTACCTCAGAGTTGCAATCAGTTGTGGTCAAATATCCCAATTGTCAATCATTCATCTGGTGTCAGGAGGAACACAGGAATTCAGGAGCTTGGTCATTTGTCAACCCTAGATTCAGAAGTTTAGTGGGAGTGGAGTTGGAGTATGTAGGTAGAAGTGAAAGAGCAGTGTCGGCCACTGCAATTGGAACTAGACATAAAAACGAGGAGAGCCAAGTTCTCGAAGAAGTGTTCAGACGAAAAAAGTGACCTCAATTTATGAAATCAACTGATATAATTTTCAAATGTATTGGATAAACTTCTCGCTTTTTATTTAATAAATTCTTGCACAATGTTAAACCGAGCCTTGTGCCTAGTCATTCGGTTGATTTTGAATGTAACTTTAAAAAACATATGTATTATGATTTTTGATCCTGACGAGCGCAAGTGACTTGTAATCGGTAACTAGTCTTTTTCCCGTAAACAACTTTAACGCTGTCGCTTTTGCACCCTAAGGTTAGGGTTTCGAGTCCCGGTAGGACCTTGTTTTTTCAGTATGTATGAAGTTGTAAACAATTTCCGGTAAAAGATAAATTGTCGGACTTTCTTTGTGTCGCATCACGTTTTTTTTTGTGCTGTGAGCGAGTATCATGATGTTTGGAAAAACTGTTTTTTGTAGTTTCAGGGGGACTGAAAACATTTTTAAATTTTTTAAAAATCATTTTTGATTCGGCCCTACTGGTGTCTGCTCAAAGATTGTCGGCCTTGTTTCCGCTTCGTAAGTTTTGTTCCCTTGCTAATCAAAAATTCAAATGCCTTGCTTAGCATATTAACGTAAACTTCCTGTTTGATAAAAACATGTATTATGAAATTATATGAGATTAGGTTTATTGGGAAAATTTAAGATTTTCTCAAAAACTACTTTACCGATTTTCGAAAAAAAAAGATATCAATGGAAAGACCACCTACTCTTCTGCGTGCCTGCATCATCTTCTTTTTTGAACGTTTTCTAATAACTACTTTATTACACAAGCAAAGTTTTTGTGATAGCCTTATGTTGGATGAGCTATCTTTTTTTCCAACATAAGGCGTAAATATTCGTGTTCATTTTGAAAGTATTCTTTTTCTGCAGTTATGTGCATAATACCAACGACCAGCTTTTAAATACAGCCAATGCTAAGGGTATTAACCCAGACTGTTATATTAGAAATAGCACTTTAGCTTCAAGGTTTCATGGATCATTAGCGTAGAGGTAGGGAAGGAGATCCGCAACAAAATAAGAAGGTTCTGAACTCGGCAGTGTCGGATGTTTGCAATGAAATTTTTCGTATACTAGTTAAAATCCGTCCGCTCTATAAATTGAGGCATGTCAGTTGGTTATTTTTTTTTTCAAATTGACTGGGACTGTTAATGCGTCATTTGCTTGCGTCACTTACCAATTATGTAGACTCATAATTGGCTGGCGTCACTTAAGAAATTATGTAGACTCGAAGTCATACTCATTCAGTTGTTCCCAGTAGCGTTATTGGTCATATGTTTGCTTGTGTATGCAAAGTGCCACTTCGCCTCTGTGTCAAACATGAGTTGAAAGATTCAACCTATTTTTGAAAATTTGGAAATAATCCATTTCATCCCGCATCAAAATCAAAGGTTCAAAAAATATCAATTAAGTACCTCCAGCTTTAGCTGCGCCCCTAGTTATCTTTTATCGAGACATAGAAAAACTTGGTTCGCCCAGTTTTTTTTCGACCTTTTTCATTTTTTCCGATTTTTGTTTGTGTGTATTGCAAGTGGTGCGAAGATACGCTTCGCTTCTGTGTTGAAGTTCCAAATTGAAACAAATCTTCTTTCTTTTCAGAAATCAATGAACAAGGCAAGCATACTAGCGGAACTTAAACAGCGCAAAGCTGCCATTGAAGAAGAGTATCGTAAAGTGGCTGCTTGTTCGGTGCTGCTGGTCGGAGCCGGCGGTGTTGGCTGCGAAGTTTTGAAGAACCTTGTCCTTTCCGGTTTCACAAAAGTCCATATTTTTGACCTTGACACAATCGAAGTTAGCAATTTGAATCGTCAGTTTCTGTTCCAACGTCCACATGTAGGGCAGCCGAAATGTGTGATCGCCAAAGAGTCGGCCTTGAAGTTCAATCCTAATTGTGAAATCACTACTTATCATGAAAGCATAATCAGCGATAAATACAATGTCGCGTTTTTCAAGCAGTTTGCAATTGTTATCAACGCACTAGACAATCGAGCCGCTAGAAATCACGTGAACAGATTATGCCTAGCGGCAGATGTTGCTTTGATCGAAAGTGGCACTTCCGGTTTTTTTGGCCAAACGTATGTGATCAAAAAAGGCAAGTCGGAATGCTACGAATGTGTTCCAAAAGAGGCCAAAGAGAAAACGTACCCTACTTGTACTGTGAGAAATACACCTAGTGAACCTATACATTGTATTGTGTGGGCTAAACAGCTTTTCAATCAGCTATTCGGAGAAGTTTCTCCAGATGAAGATAATGAAGTATCGCCGGATAGTAATGACCAAGAAGCTACAGAGAACCAGGACACCTCAGACGCTGATCTGATGAAAGATTACGGAAGCGATAAGAAAGTGTCGACCCGTGAATGGGCAACCTCTGTTGACTATAACCCTAAAGAAATCATCACCAAACTGTTTGTAAAAGACGTGCAATACTTGCTCACCATGAAGAATCTGTGGTTAAAAAGAACCCCACCGAAACCTCTTGAAGTTCCTGCGGAAGAAAACTGGGAGCACCCTTCCGGCTTAAGTGATACTGAATTATGGAGTACAGATAGCTGGGTTAAAGTGCTGGGAAAGAGCATAAATGAACTGAAAAAGAGAAAAAGCGCATCCGAAGAAGGTTTCCTCACTTGGGATAAAGATGATGACATCACGATGGATTTTACAGCAGGTGCTGCAAACATAAGGTGCCAAATCTTCAGCATTCAAGGAAAGTCCAGATTTGATGTTAAGTCCATGGCCGGTAACATTATTCCAGCCATAGCAACTACCAATGCAATAGTAGCGGGCCTAATGGTAACAGAAGCCAAGAAAGCACTTTTGGGTAACATTGAAGATTGCAAACAAATTTTCCTGAAAAAACTGCCAAGTGGAAGATACGGTACTCTGTTTGTAGCTTCACAGTTGCACGAGCCGAATCCGAAATGCTATGTTTGCAGTTCTAAACCAGAGGTGGTTTTGCGAGTGAATTGCTCGAGTTTTCTAATCAAGTCGCTGGTCGACAAGGTTTTGAAAAAGTCGTTGAGTATGGTGGAAGCTGATGTTGAGCTGGACGATGGAAAAGGAACCATTCTGGTATCCAGTGATCCGGAAGATAACGTTGGAAATTTGGAACGGACCCTGGAGTCTTTCAAGGTAACCGACGGGACCAGATTGAAAGCTGACGATTTCTTCCAAAATTTCACAGTAGTGATTGTCGTTCAGCACAGTGAGAAGGTTGACGAAGAAGATCGAAGCTTGACCGATGAACAGAATTTCCAGATTTTGGGTCTCGATGCAATTCCAGCTGCTTCGGCAAATGTAGAAAATGGTAGTGAGAAAAACGGGGGACCACAATCAGAAAATGGATTAGAAAAGAGGGAAACTGAAGATAAACATGCGAAAATTGAGATGGCTGATACAACCAACGAAAAAAGCGAGGATACTTCAGTCACTAATGGAAGTCAAAATTGTGAAGTCATTGACCTTGATGATGACGAAGATGAAGATGTCAATCAGCCAGGTGTTTTGGAACCAAAGAGTAAGAAACAGAAAATTGACGAAAGCGAGTTTGAGGCATGTGCTAACGGAGATGCGAAGCGAGTTGCGACTGCAAAATCTGAAGAGTCGGATGATGATTTGGTGTGCCTAGATTAAATGTAGTTTCTGTTCTGTTACGAGTTTTTGGATTCAGAACTGTAGTTCTCATATCTGTGAAGTTCACTGTTGACAGTGAATAATTAGTATGAACCTGAAACTTTTTTGAAGTTGTAACTCTTGTTTGGTGTGATGCGTCGCAGAAATTTTGCGAGAAATTTAGGTGTAGTTTCAGCGTTTTTTGTTACAGCGTGTATAAAATGCGGATAATGTCAATCAAGTAAGAGTAAAATTACTTTACAAGTCGTAATTTGAGTTAGATGATTTGTTTATTCCTCTATTATGTTGTTTATTAATTTTTCCTCGGATGAATGTTGGTTTACTTCATTTTTATTGAAGTTTTATTTCGTTAATTTCGTTCTCAAGTTACAAAGTTATATCATTTTGCCCTTTTCTGACCTTTCACTGAATAGGAGACATTTTTGATAGGATAATTTGTAGGGAGGAGCAGGGTCGTAAAAAGAAGACAGTCTCATATAACGAAGGGTTTCGGAAATTTTTGAAATGCCAAGCTCATATAGAAATATCTGGATTAGGATTTTTAAGCGGTGGTATTGAACCAACTAAAATATTGTTTGCAAATATGGTGGTCAATTTGTGCGTAATGGTTAAATATAGTAATAAAATTAATCGAGCGTACTTGAAGTTAGCATATGTCTCTTTTTGCGGCGTACAGAAAAAATAGTTTGGCTCACAAATAACAGTATGCTACGCTAGTTTTGTTTGTTTATTGGCATCGAAACGGAAATAGTAAAGTACGGAAATATAAAAGTATCAATTTTTTAGATTTCTCTGCGATTATCTGTTCTGTTCTATTCTATTCTAAACAACTTTAGTCTTCTGATCTGATCAACTTTCTACACCAATCAGCCAATCACAATGAGGGAAATAGTTCACTTGCAAGCGGGTCAGTGTGGTAACCAGATCGGAGCAAAGGTCAGTCTCATTTATTACCATCATCATGTAATGCTGTTTTAATGCCCGCTCATTAAAGAGTAGCGCAAATTGAGACAAACATTTTGAATCTACTAAAAGGTGAAGAGAAAGACTATGTGAAGTAAAATCGTCATCCTGTGTGGTACTGTTTTAAGACATTCATTTTTGGCTGACAGAGCCTAAAATTTTTCTTAAGGCGCTTTTTGTCGCGAATATTAATATATATTAATTTTGAGAGGGGGAGGGGAGGGGTGAGCGCGCCGAAAACACATTTTTTTTTGGTCAAAATTTTCAAAAAGTGCCCAAAAACGACTTTTTTTGGCCTGTTTTTTTTCGAAAAATTGCCTGCGGCGCAGAAAATTTGGTCAATATAGGGTCTTGGCTCTTTTTCCTCAGGGATTCGACCCCCTGCCGAACCAAAGGGTCCCCCCTTTGGAACTTTTAAAGAAATCCATTTTTGGTCGACCGACCCTAAAATTTTTCTAAAGGTGCCTTTGGCGCGAATATATACTAATTTTGAGGGGGGAGCGCGCGCCGAAAAAAAGCAATTTTTCGGTCAAAAATTTTACAAAGTGTCTGAAAACGCTTTTTGGCCTGTTTTTTCAAAATTTTGCCTGCGGCGCACAAAGTTTGGCCCAAATAGGGACAAAATAGTGCTTTGGGAGAGCTCGAAAAATTAATTTGGTCGACCTAAAAAAAAGTCGACAAAATCCGCCCCCCCCCCCCCCCCCCCTCGAGAAAAGCCTAGATCCGCCCCTGGATGGGATGCAACGATTTCATTACTGAAAAAAAACATATTCTTTGCTATGCTTCTAAAGGCCAAATATCTGAGCAACCTATTTTTTTCTTTACTCAACATTGTCCATCTTCGCCCATTATCTGATCCAAAAAGTAAATTGTTTTATGCATTTTCTTATTTATACTGACTGATTATATTTCGTGTCTGTTCTAGTTCTGGGAAGTGATTTCGGACGAGCATGGCATCGACCCAACGGGTGCCTACGCCGGAGACTCGGATTTGCAGCTAGAGAGGATCGATGTGTACTACACTGAGGCCTCTGGCGGCAGGTATGTGCCAAGGGCAATACTGGTCGATCTGGAGCCGGGAACTATGGACTCCGTCAGATCTGGACCTTTCGGACAGATCTTCAGACCCGACAACTTCATTTTTGGCTTGTATTTGAGAACAATTTAGGACGGCGCACAAGATAATAAGATTTGAAGAAACTGCGCCCATAATATCAAGAATATCAATTTGAATAAGTGCACAATTATCGCAGTTTAAAATCTCTATAACATCAGCAGTTGGCAGATGTACGTGGATTTAAATTGTTATTGTTATCATGGAACAGATAAATTCAATTGTCGATGTTTAGGTCAATCTGGGGCCGGCAACAATTGGGCTAAAGGCCACTACACTGAGGGAGCGGAACTGGTCGATTCTGTTTTGGACGTTGTCCGGAAAGAGGCCGAGGGTTGTGACTGCATTCAGGGGTTCCAGCTCACGCACTCTCTCGGAGGTGGTACCGGATCCGGAATGGGAACCCTTCTCATCTCCAAGATCCGAGAGGAGTACCCTGACCGAATCATGAATACGTTCTCAGTCGTGCCATCTCCCAAAGTTTCGGATACCGTCGTGGAACCGTACAATGCGACTCTTTCGGTTCATCAGCTCGTGGAGAATACTGACGAGACTTATTGCATCGACAACGAGGCACTGTATGACATCTGCTTCCGGACACTGAAGTTGACTACGCCAACCTATGGGGACTTGAACCACCTGGTTTCTTCTACTATGTCTGGAGTCACGACTTGCCTCCGATTTCCAGGCCAGTTAAATGCTGACTTGAGGAAACTAGCAGTGAACATGGTACCATTTCCTCGTCTCCATTTTTTCATGCCTGGTTTTGCTCCACTAACTTCAAGGGGCTCCCAGCAATATCGAACACTTTCGGTTCCCGAGTTAACCCAACAGATGTTTGACTCAAAGAACATGATGGCCGCTTGTGACCCGCGACACGGAAGGTACTTGACTGTCGCGGCCATGTTCAGAGGACGTATGTCAATGAAGGAAGTGGACGAGCAAATGCTGAACGTGCAAAACAAGAACAGCAGCTACTTTGTCGAGTGGATCCCAAATAACGTGAAAACAGCAGTGTGTGACATACCGCCTCGAGGCTTGAAGATGTCGGGAACGTTCATTGGAAACAGCACTGCGATTCAGGAATTGTTCAAGCGAATTGGGGAGCAATTTACAGTCATGTTCAGACGAAAGGCTTTCTTGCATTGGTACACTGGCGAGGGTATGGACGAGATGGAATTCACAGAGGCTGAGAGCAACATGAATGATCTTGTGTCTGAGTACCAACAGTACCAGGATGCGACTGCCGAGGAAGACGGAGAGTTCGAAGAGGAGGAAGACGGTGAAGAGGCTTGAAAAGCAACATTTCAGAGCTGAAAAAGCATACAGAACTCATGTGCATGAGTTTATTTATACAGCAAATGAAATACATGGGCGTGTGGGTTTATACTGATATTAAAATGCAATTAGTCGAATAGGTTTCCTTTTCTTATACCAATGAAATTGGACCTTCGCAATATTACATGAATTGTGCAATACTCAAATGTCAATTTAAATGTGTCATCAATTTTAAATTTACATCAATTATATAAAGCTGAATCTAATTTATTCCTGTCATCGATCTTAAATTTAGATTATTATTGCAAGCAATTTTTCTATAGATGAGCACAAGATAGATTAGGGAAGATAAATATCTTTGAATGGCTGGAAAGTGGCAGCTAGTTAGATAGCAAGAAGTTATTGATTTCTTGATAGAGGAGTTCAAATACTCAAGCTGAATTTAGTGGTATTTCATTTGAAATTTTTCGAGAAAAACTGTTTATGATTTCCTTTTTTATCCTTGTGTTAGAGCTATAAGCAAGAGTGTTGGAACTGGTACTAGACTTCCCATCCCCCCTCAAATAACTTTGTTCGCAGGATTACTCAATTTGGTTTTTATCTCAAATCTCGTCAACTAACTGACAAATTTTGTGCATGTCTGCATTTTTAATGCATGTTGTATTTACAAAAGCCAAGCGTACTGTGTTAGTACGATATAATTTTTTTTTTCAATCTAATAAAAGTGCTCATTTGGTGGTGCTCATAAAAGTGCTCATCTGCTATAACCACGATCTGTAGCTTTGGAAGTTTCATAGCATCTGTTCTCTTCTTTATTGGCGGCTAATGTTTGGCGTTAGTCAAGCGTCCGTAGCTCAGAGGGAAGTGCGTGAGATTGTCGGATGTTCAACAATTTCTATTTATATTTGCTGTCATTTTTTCTTCATTGCATTGATAGTTAATTAGCATCTATATCTGGTCTGCATAATTGATGGCTAGTGTTAGGAAATTTTCTATGACGCCATATCTCTAGGCCACAGCTTCCAATCAGTCGCATAGCATAAGTTCAACTAATTCGAGGCTTCTTTCTACTTTTTTTCTTTTTTTTTCACTTGCGAGAGCACGTGAATTGTAATCGGGAACTAGTCTTTTCCCCCGTAAACAATTTTTCTTACAAATTCAAATTAAACTACCCTTTGGATCATTTGAGGTAAGAACTAGTTTCTTAGTTTTTGAAATATATTTTTCAGATCTGTGTTTATCGTCGTAATTTCGATAGGCTTTTTCTCCGTTTTTTTCCAAATGCAAATTACAGCTGGTTAGCAGTTTGTTTTTAAAGCTAGTTTTTGATAGAAAAAGTTTTTACAACAGTTGAAAAATGTTCTGTAGTTAGTAAATTTACCAATTCTGGTGTTTAATATTTTGATTAACTTTTTGGTTAAACGGGCTCGGATTATGTTTATCGGCATAGTCAATTTATGGTGCCTCTATATCGAAGTTATTTTCATGTTTTTATGTTATTTTTGATTTTAGTATATCAGTTGTTTCTGGTTGATTTTCTCTTTTCAAGTGTAAAAAGGTCGAAGAGATTTTCAATTAAATAAGGTCTTGATGATTTGGTTTTGTTTTGATTTTTCGCGGTTTTCAAACTTCAGTTCATTTCCTTTGCTAAAATGAAAGCGAACTACACTATCGAACAGCACAAGTGTTAAGGTCATGAAAAACGTGGATGACTTCTTGATTCTAATATAAGACTTTTTTATTGATTTTCTTAAATTCTTGATTTTCAAAGAGCTTTAAGGCCATGTATTGAGCTAAAGAAGGTTTTTATTTAAATGTTTAGAGGGGCCATGTTAGATAAGTGTTGTATCGCAATTGGTGCGAAACTTCAGTTCACCTCTGTCAAATTGTTTTTTTTGTGCGTGGCGTGACGAGAGGAACAAGACGAAAACTTTGAACGTTAGTAACTTACATATAATGGACTACAGTTGAATACAGTTTCTCATTCATAAATACATAAGGTTTCTCATTCATAAATACATAAGGTAAATTTACATAAGCGATTAGCAAGCGTTATCAAATTGAAATGGGACTGTTCCACTTAGACAACTTATTCAGCAGAGTCACTGAATCATCTGATGGCTTGATTTATGTGCATTAAGAGCGGGGTTTTTGAGACGTTTTAGGTGTGAGTTAAGAGTTATATTCAGGGGCGGATTTAGGGGGGGGGGGGGCGGACGCCCCCCCCCCTCAGGGATTCGACCCCCTGCCGACCCAAAGGGTCCCCCCTTTGATACTTTTTCAGAAATCCATTTTTGGCAGACCGACCCTAAAATTTTTCTAAGGGCGCCTTTGGCGCCAATATATACTAACTTTGAGGGGGAGCGCGCGCCAAAAAAAACGCGATTTTTTTTTGTCCAAATTTTTCAAAAAGTGCCCAAAAACTTTTTTGACTGTTTTTTCCAAAATTTGCCTGCGGCGCTGAAAATTTTGCCAAAATAAGGGTTAAACAGTGCTTTGGGAGAGCTCGAAAAATCTATTTGGTCGACCTAAAAAAAAAAAGGTCGTCAAAATTTTGGAAATTTTTTTGAAAATCCGCCCCCCCCCCCTCGAGAAAATCCTAGATCCGCCCCTGGTTATATTAATAATTTAGTTTCCAAGCAAACAAATACATTTGGGAGTTATTCTTCCAGTGTTTTTTGCGTGATTAATCAATGTAAAACTAAATTCGGAGATTTCTGGTTAAACTTCTAAAGGAGTCTTATAGTTTCTGTGTATATTTAAGTGCTGGCTTAGAATGATGTCAGCCAGTCTATTAGGCAATCGTTTTTACTTTGCTTATTGAAATAGTACATCGCTTTTGACGCACTTTTTGAAGTTTGCTGCTTTCTCGATGGAAATTCTGAGCAGTTGAACTAGTTAAATGTAATTTGAGATATCCTTGTATTGTAGAGATTAGTAGCATCTGGATCAGAAGCGGGTATAGAGTGGGGCGGACCTTTTGGAATTGTTTAACTACCAGCAATTTTAGCTGACCGATCCTAAAATTTATCTTAAGGCGTCTTCGGTGCAAATACACACTAATTTTGAGAGGGGAAAGAGTGCAAAACTGGTCAGAAAGTGTGAGAAGCGTCGCTTTTGGCGTATTTTATTTTGCGCAGAGAATATTTCAAAATAGAGGGTGGGAAAGCTTGGAAGCGGAACTGAAGAATTTGTCAAATATTTTTTTGAAAATCTGCTCTTCCCTGTTCTGTAAAGTGTAAAGGTCGTATGCAGATTTCATAAAAAACCGACATAGTGAACAAAACTTTAACAAGTAAAACTTCGGTAGATCGGTATGAAAGAGCCTTTTTACCCGGCTTCAAAAAGTTAGTAGCAGAGAAATTGATCTATTCGGAGCTAACTTTTTCGTGGCATAAAAAATGCAAAGAGGCGAGTTCTTTTAATAGAATAATAGTCGCCGCTAAATAAATGGCCTCATCCAAGACTTGTGGCCTCTTCGCTATTTAGCATTGTCAGTCCCCTGATTCCATGGTAATATTTTAGGGCCGTTATGGCGGGCACCGAGCGAGTGTGCCTGCGGCCTGATTTTTGGGGTTCCGTTTATCTCAGCAATTCATTTTGTACACATGAAGAGAACATAGACTTGGCAGTACCTCAAAAAGCTGACGAAGAAGAAATGACAGGAGTGGTGTTCTGTTTTGTATTTATGCTGATCATGTTGGTCAGCGCCCTAACTGTGATCCTACTGGCTCTGTTGAACGATAGATGGGATGGTCAGGATTCGGACGAAAAGCGACGTTGTGGCTTGGACTCGTACCAATTCGGATACTCGCCAGATTTAGCGGATTTGGTGGACAAGAGAAAAAGATACGCTAGCAGATCTAGTCTCAATAGAGTTGGGGTTAGTACCTTTAAAGATAGTTGTTTGTTGCTGTTGATTGCTCGTAGTTGTTGAAATTTCAGACAAATCTAGAATTTGATTAGACAGGTTTGGCCACTCTCGCCTTTGCTATAGTAAAAGGTTATACGACCCGTGAACTTCTTTATGAGCGTTTGCAGATTGTACCAAATTGCCCCGAGATGGAAATAACCACATTATAGAAAATAATCTGGAACGACACCTTCATACAAAAGATCTATGAACTCTCAAATGTAGTTCAGCTCCAAAATTCAAATGTAGTTCAGCTCCAAAATTCAAATGTAGTTGAGCTCCAAAATTCAAATGTAATCTTATTTTTGAAGAATTAGCGTCCGCAGAAGAAGAGCCGAAATACATAATTTTTGGTTCATTACTTACTTGCGATGACGTTGTTTTTTTTATTAGCCCCTCCCTTGACGTCGTTTGTCTTGTTGATTAAAACACTTGCTAAAAATGCTTATCAAATTGGAAAATTAATAAAGAATAAAGCTTTGCTCCATCTAATCTGGATTCAAATATGACGAAGCAATCACAAATGTTAGCAATTTGCGATTGTTTCGCAAATGTTTGCAATTATACCGACTTCTGTATTGAATAGATTGTTAGGACGCTATTAGTTTTTAAAATCTGTTATCAAATGCCTCTAGCAAAAGGTAAAAATGTCGTTATTTACAGTCACAGCAAGATTCTTAATTTTTCAGTAATTACACTTGCGATCAGCTCAGTGTGTTATTACGAACCTTTTTTTCTAAGCAAACTCCCAATTTAAAGTGTTAATTTAACATGTTCGCTTATTTGAAAATTTCACTGGAAATTGCATAGCATCTGTTCTCTGCCTTATTTGTGGCGGCTAGTGTATGGAGCCTATTAAGCTTCCGTGGCTGAGTGGTTACTGTGTGCGACTACTAACACGAGGTTGTAGGTTCGAATCTCAGAGGTAGCCGAATTTTTGCTGATTCGAGGCTTATTTCTAATTTTTATCTGTCTTTTTGTTTTGAGAATTTGAAAGAAAAACATGTTATGAGAATTTGAAAGAAAAACATGTTTTTAATAAACTAACTTTTGATATGGTTTTATGCCTTAGATTTTGAATCCTTGATAAATCTAAAATTACTATTTTGTTGATTTTTCGACGAAGTCAAACCAATTTGAAATAACTGTTAGATAAAATGAACGCTTATATCATTTTATGTGAAGCGATTGCTTGTAATGTTGATTTTTTTTCAGTTGTTTTTTTTCCGCTATGCGTTCAGTTTGCATTTGTTTTGAAACTCGTTATCGCTGAAAGTTGATTGTAAAATCTTCATTTTAGTTTCATTTCTAGTGGATTTTGTCAATAGTTTAAGAACTTCATAAGCAAACATTTCGATTGATCGAAAAAAAAAGATGCATAATTACATAGTGGTTAAAAAAGGATACTTAGTTATCGTACTGAATCTGTCCTCTTAACATTGAGATTTGAAAATTGAAATTTATTTTTTGGCAGTTTGAACATTTGTTCACATATTTCGACATGTATGCAGTATGTGCGTCTATTTGAGCTCATTGGTCTTTTACTCCCACGTTGCATCCTTAAAAGTGTTCTTCCAATAAATTCGCTGTTCATATGTTTTAACGATATTTCTTTGAATTATTTTTTGAATTTTCGATTTCGTCGCGTTCGTTTTTTTTGGCTTAGTTTCCGTTTTGCTGTTACCATTCAATTAAATCGCTGATTTGAATTTTTTCCCCTTATAGTTGCTTTTAATGTTCTGATTTGCCGCTGCTGTTTGTTTGTAATTTTTTTAACCTTGACATCGTATTGTTTTTTTTTGATTTTTTTTTCGCTTTACTATTTTATTCTGCACAAATGATTTCGGCCTGTTTTTTATTGGCTTAGTGACCTAATTTCAAAGTCGTTTCAATTGAATCATATTTTTATGCCCACCTCTGGATTGCACAAAATGCTATACATCTTAATTGAAATTGTAGTTTACATTTTTCGTGACAACGCCTTGATAGGTTTCGGCCTATTTTTTACCGGCTTATCGACCTTCTATTGCGTCTTTCAACGAGCGAAAAAAATGCGTATGCGCGTTTCTGTGTTTTGAGGGCGAGGGGGGATTAATAACTGCTTATAAGTATTGAATTTTGTTGATTGTTTTCGGCTTTTTACAATTTTCCTTTTTTTCGGCTTAATAGCTTTCAGGCTATGTTTTATCGGCTTAGATGTCTCATATTGTATCTTTTGAGGGGTAGGGGGATTTATTAACTTTTCACGAGTCGTAAGTCTTGAGTCATTTTTTCCCCTTAAAGGTTTCTGACATGGTATTATTGGCTTTGTCACCGCTGGGTATATTGTCTTCTGATGGTTATTTCACGTTCTATTGTCTCGACATGTTTTTGTTTCAAAACTGGCCTTATTTATTGTGATGGATCTAGTTTTTTCGACGTTTTCGTTTTTTTTCTTGTGTCCAAGTGGTTCGAAGCTCAGCTTGGCCTCTGTGTGATAATAAGTTACCTGTTTCAAAACATATGACTTAGTTTTTTACATAGCATCAAAAGTTTAATCAAAAGCATTTTATCAGGTTGTTAAACGTGACTCGGAAAATTCAGGGCTCACCCATGATACGAGCAGTCTCTTTGATTTTTTGCTTAATGTATGCTTTTTGCTTAAAGTTGTTCCGATTTTCGAAGAAATTAAATAATGTATGCTTGCAGTTGATTTTAAGAATCAAAATTCAGCAATTCCTTTGAAGTTGATATTCGAGTTTTTAGGAGACTTTTGATTGTAAATACATCTGGCAAGCTTAAACTTTTATAAAAAATTATGTATTCTTTTTTGATCCACGAATTTTTATATTATGCTTACTTGCATTCTTTGCTCAATACGCGAAATATCCTCGTTAATTAGTAGAGCTTACTCTGTGACAGAATAAATGTTAAAAGATTTGTATCAATGTTGAAATATTTTGGATTTTTTTTTGAATTATTATATTGATCAAAAACAGTAACTTTCAAAAAGCTCAAAAACGGCTTTTTGACCTGGTTTTTATTTCAACAATAGGCGTACCAATAGACGTGGTGTAATGGTTGTTTCTTTCTTACAAGTCTAAAACAACGCAAAATTTTCATTTTCAAATGCTCTTGAATGGAAAGTTCCGAATAAATGTAAGCTCCTAAATAGCTAACTTTTTTTCATCCTATCAAACCGGTAGAATTCGAACGTGAACTTAATGTAAATTGGTCGGCTTAGTCACTTTAGGAATTCAAAGCGAAGTAAACTAGATGAATTAGATTTTAAAATGACAGCATATTTTTGTTCATTCAGCTCTGAATCATCTAATTAGTTCGTTCCATTTGTTGCAGATGTCAAGAAGTGACCGACTGGGATCCAGTAGTGGAATATCTACATTAGACCTTCTGGGACAACACAAAGTGCGATGTGCCAATGATCTCCTCAGTTCCAGGCGGCCCAACTACCGCAGAGTGGCTTATGCCAGTGCATTTGGGGTGCCGGAAGGACTGCCTAAACGGGTGCTGAAGAAGCGAGTAGTATATACAGAGGAGTTGTGCGAGAAGTGTCTCGTTTATTCCAAAGAAGAAAGTTGCATGTACGTGAGAATATTTCTTTTCTTAGTTTGTTGTGAGTATTATCATCAGTAACATTACTTCATCTTTGAACCATCTGGTAGATTAATTATCTCGTTTCAAAGAAATAAATCGAGCAATATCAACGTATAAGGATTCGACGCTCTCACCACGATAAAAAATTTTTCTTCAAAATTTTCAAAAAGAGCTCAAAGCATTTTGACCTGTTTTTTTTTCAACAATTTGCTTGCAGCGAAGCAGAGGTGGATCTAGGACTTTCTCGGGGGGGGGGGTTTCTGGTGGTGCGTCGAACGTTTGTCGAACTTTTTAGGTCGACCAAATTAATTTTCCGAGCGCTCCTAGAACACTATAAACTATAAAGACCATATTTGACAAAGAAATTTGTGACGATGGCAAATTTTTGAAAAAACAGTCAAAAAGCCGTTTGCTGTTATGGTGCGGGTAATTGAGTTCAAAGAAATGTTTCCCAAATTTTTTTTCTACCATTTCAGAACTATTAGGTAATGTTTAATCTGATTTCAAATTTCGAGCAAAGTCTAATTTTTCTACTTTGCCTAAATAATTCATTTGCATGCTTTAAGTTTGTCAAATGAGCTTTTATAAGTTTTAGCTGTGCTAGAGAATGAGTTGTGTTCCTGTGAGACATATTTTTTTTGGAAAACAGTGTGTGAATTTTTACTGTGTCAATGTTTTCTTTGTCTGAACATACAATATATTTTTGTATCACATGGGTTTACCGGCTTTCTGTGGGCCTACCAAACTAGCTTTAAGTAGGATTACCAAGCTTTCGATGAAGTGGACGAGACTTTAGTGGACACCGCCTCTCCTCTCTCGTTCTATTTGATTAAGAGGTGTTGAAAACATATGTTTGTTTTTGTTTATGTAGGCATGACATGTGCTATAAATGCTGCTACCAATGTCCCTCTCTCTACCTGGGCTACCGTGTGAACAAACAATACCCATCATCCCAATCTCCACTGGAACAAGGATCGTCTTCAGTTGGAGAGGGGTCAACTTCTGGGTGCAGAGATGCTCTGCGGGCTGGTCAGACTTGTGTAGATCGGGTGGATCTCAGTGAGAAGTGTCTGGTCCAATTCCCACACAAGCTGTTTATTCTGGGCCACTCGTGTCTCACTGTACTTAATCTAGCAGACAACCAGTGAGCTATTTACTAAATTACCGATTGAAATTGTTTTTTTTTTCTTCAAAAATAGTCGATATTTTTTTCACGGTTTTGTAAACGTTTCATTATCATCGTCAACTCAAAAGCAAATTTTCAAGCGTTTTAAAAAACTATTTACTAAGCCAATTAGGTTAAAATATAGCTTCGGTACATCGGGCTTTCTTTGACGTCTTTGAAATCTGCAATCGGGTACTAGATTTTTTCACGTAAACAACTTTACAGGACTGTTCACAGGACTCATTTCATATCCCCCCGGACTCCTTTATCTTTAGACATGCACAATTTCATGAAAATTCAAATAAAACTACTATAGTTCAAGTGGTAATTAGGTCAAGTCTGTTTCAAATTAATTATTTAAAAAAAAATTTCAATTATTTTTCAGGTTCGTTGTTTTCGCCCTAGTCTCTGTCGGGTCATTTCGCGTTTTTTTATACGCAATTTTTTAAGTGATAGAATTTTTTTTGGCTTACTTTATAGAGCATGATGTGTTTTGTTCTATTTTCAACAGTTTTTTTTTACTACAACTGAAAGTTCAGAAATTTGTAAATTTACCTCGTCGGATAATGGGTTTTTTGAATTTTGTTTTCTTTCTTTTTACACTAGCGTCAGCTTAGTGTGTGAGTACGAACCTTTTCTTTTTTCTTATCTAACTCGCAAATAAAAGTGTTCATTAAAAGTGTTCTTTTATTTGGAAATTTCACTGTAGCATCGGAAGTTGCATATCATGTTCTCTGGCATGGCTAGTGTTTAATATTCTTCTATTATGTATAGTCTTCTGTCTACCACTAATAAACGTCAGTGGCTGAGTGGTTAGTGTCTGTGACTTTTAAAATCAAGGTCGCAAGTTCGATGCTCAGGCGTAGCCGATTATTTGCTGATTCTAGGCTTATTTTATTTTTTCTTGTTGTACTTTATAAAACTGCTTTTTGTCGTGTTCTTGCTAGTGTTTGCGAAGCAAAGCTTCGCATCAGCGTTTAAATTTGTAACACTTTCAGTTTATGTTGTATCGGCTCCGCTTCGCCTCTCTGTTGAATCATATTTTTTGAATGCAGGAACAACTTTATGGTAACTAGGCACTATACTATCATTTGATGCAATCTATGTCTGTTTAATAGCTTTATTTCAGCTGTCGGAGTTGTTTTTGAGACATATTGTACCAAGCACCATAGTTATAACCTTTAAATCCTGATTCACTGAGTTTTTTTACGTGAGGCTTTGGAATTTAAGCAATTCAGATTTTATTATTGAAGTTGCGTCTAATTTCTTTTTTTATAGTTTGCGATTAATGGATTTGTCTAAATTCCTCTGTTTCGTTTCATATTAACTGATAAATGTTTGCTCTGCAGATTGACAACTTTGCCAGACAGCTTCGAACTTCTGAGCAACCTGGAAGAAGTGTACCTGCAGAACAATCTCCTGCAGAAACTGCCTTCTAGTCTGTGTGAGATCAAAACCCTCGTAGACTTAGACGTAGGCTGCAACGAACTGTACACTCTGCCGGAAAACATGGGTTCTCTGTTCAGTCTGAAGTACCTGGATCTGAGTGATAACAACATAGGATGGCTGCCGGTGTCTGTGTGCAATCTCAGTTCCCTCTACCTGCTGGATCTGAATGGAAACTACCTCAGTAGACTCCCTCCCGCAATCGGAAGTCTACGCGCTCTCAGGTCATTCACTAATCATAGCTCCTTTTCCTTCTCGATATAATGTGATGTAATGTTGTGCAGTCGTCTGAGCTGTTCTAGGTAATGGTGTTAACTTTGGTTAATTTGCTAGTTTCTTATTTTTGTTCATTCGCTAGTTTCTTATTTTTGTTAATTCGCCAGTTTCTTATTTTTGTTAATTCGCTAGTTTCTAATTCATGCTATGATTTAAGGGTTTTGTCGGTGTCTCAGAATAAACTGCGCTGTCTGCCTTGTTCGATTGGTGGCTGTATCAACTTGGAGACAATTGATTGTGCGAACAACCTTATAGAGACGCTTCCGATTGAGATGTTCGCGTGTCATTCTTTGGCTAAGTTTAACCTCGATAACAACCGGTCAGTTTCCTCCAGTAGTCATACCGAAAATAACAAATCTCAAATAAAAAATTGATTAAGACTCACATGTGAAAGGACCAACAACATGCGAGCTGTTCAGTTCCTAACCGAGAACCGCTGTTTCTTCACCTTATTAAAGATCTATATGTAGTTTCTTTTGTTGTTTTCCTGTGCTGAAAAATTGTTGTATCATCCGCAAGCAACGAGCACGGATGAAAGTTTTCTGTACCTTGAGCAGGTTGATTTGATTTTCAGGCTGCTGAGGGTTCCGTGGCAAATCATGAACATCAGTTCCAGCCTGCGGGAGTTGAATTTGAAGAACAACAGACTGTGCACTTTGCCGACCTCTTTGTTCCATCTCTGTCCTACTTTGGGCTCATTCGAGATACAGGGAAATCCATTTGTGCAATTAGACGAAGCTGATTACAAATTAGACCAGAGAAGAACAAGGTAATAAAAAAATTACGAGACTAGATAAATAATATAGTTTCTACATGTGATGGCTCTCTGTTGCTCATCATTGTCTTTCCTTCCTATACAACATTATTTTTCAATAATTTTGAAAACTAATTTGATTCTTAATCATACGCTTTGTTATGCGAAAAGAAAGCAGTGCTGAATGCGACAATACGAGTAAAACAAACGAAATATTGCCAGTAATTATAAATACATTTTTAGCTTTAGTCAGTCTTCTTTGACTGGCATTGATTGGACAAGCGAGAGTCTAAGCAGTCGCGCTAGCAGCAGCAATAGCCGAGTGGTTCCGTCTCTAGCCGAGTTAAGTGCTCGTTTCGTGTTGTTGTCTGGTGTGTCCTACTCCACGCTGGACATGACACCCAACATGTACAACAGACTGGCCTCGGCGGAGTACTGCCACAATGCATGTGGACAACTGACTGTGCTCCAGTTTACCACCAGGTGAATAACACCATTTAAACGCGAACATCATACTTGGAATGTTAGGTGAATCGTATCTTCAATACTGGATGGTCGGTGTTTTTCAGCCACACTTACAGATGAGCGCGCGAGTTTAGTCCGCTTTTAACGAGCAACTGCGAGCTTTTAACTGGATGTATTTGGCCCAGAAAATGGCGATATCTTAAATTTGGCGTTGACCTTTCTCGGGTATTTTACTCTTGCGATTAGCAAGCGTTATCCAATCGGAACATATACTTTTTTCGGTTTAACAACTTGCCTAACAGAATGACATGATATCTTGGTTCAGAATGAGTTCAAATTTCTATGCGTTCGCTGCAAACTTAGCCTGGGGGTAACGAATATGCCTTGGACGGCAAAGATGCTGGGTTCGAATCTGACCAGGAACTGATTTTTTTTTCAAACTGAAAATATTCCGTTTCAAAAAATTGACGAATTTTTTTTGTCTGCTTGTGGTTTGCCGGCTTAGTTACCACGTCTTTAAGAGTAATGAACGTTGTGATTACTCTAATATAGCTCTGGCTGATTTTTTTCTGTTTTTTTTTTTTAGGAAAAAGACTTAAAAGTTGTTGACGCTCAATTTTGATTTTTCGCTGTTTGACTTGTGACTTCTTTTCAAGTTCAGTTCATTTTCATTGTTAAAAGGAAGGCAAACTCCACTATCGAACAGCAAAAGTGCAAATCTCACGAAAAACTTGATTAACTTATGATTTCGAAAATGGAAATTAATCAGATTTCCCAGCCAAATAAAAGTTTTACGAATTGATCCAGTTTTCTCAAATTGGGTAAATTTTGATAAAAAAAGTGTCCATAATAAATTGTTCTACAAACTCAAAGAGCTGTAAGGCCATCTTTTTTTTCTTCGAAGTTCAAAAGTTCAAGGCTCTTCAAAAAACTAGTCAAATTTTTTTTTCAGTTTCCTTGCGTTCATTTCTCTTTTCCAACCGTCAGTTGGCTCGTTTTCTGTATGCAGTTTTCATTGTAGTTTCTTTATGTTTTCATTTACTCTTAATGACTTCGGCTTATATTTTATTGGCTTACTAACCTACTTTTGGGTTGTTCGAGGGAACCATGGTTTGTATGCTTTTCTTTGGTTTGCACAAAATATTAAAAATCTCAAAATAGAATTTATAATTCAATTTTTTTATGACAATATTTTTTTTGCTCAAATTGGTTTCATTAAACGCCGTCTAACGGGTTTCTGGACATTTTTTCCGCAAATAGAACCTCATTTCAGATAACACTTTGAAGTTTTTGTAGTTGTGGTTTCTTGAAAATTTTTCAGTTTTCTTTGGACTTAAATCATCCCTTCCTTTCCTGCATGCTAGCTTTCAATGCCTTTTTGTGATCTGATGGTAACAGGAGTGACTGTTGAAAAGAGGGTAATTTCGTGTTCTCGCTGTGTAAAAAATGTGACAAAAAGTAATTGTAAAATTTCAAAAGAAAAGGCGTCTAACCAAAAAAAAAATAATAAAAAAATGGGATATAATAAATATGAAATGAATATGAAAAAAAATGGTCAAATAGTATGGAAAAAATAAATTAAATTGAAAAGTAATTGCTAGTTTCCTTGTTTGCTTGAAAACATAAAATTAAATTCCATTAAATGATATTTAGATTCAGCTCGAGAGTTGGCTTCGATGTGGAAAAACGAGTCCCTTTCGAAGAAAGATTATGTCTACAGTGCTCACTGAGATCATCCGACAGTGAAAATAATAGTCATACATCTTCACAATTGCAATAAAACTCAAGTTAAACTACAGGCCTCAGTCAATCAATATTCTGTGCAAATAATTTTAGTAAATTTGAATGTTATAAAAAATAGTTAGCTCGTTTGAATGTTAAATGTGCGTGAAATGTATGCTTTCGAGGTAATTAATTGAAATTCTTCTGTTTGGCTGGACACGTATTGAGCAAGAATTTGTTCCGAAATTTATATCTTCAAAGGTTTATTATAAAAATTATATGTTACTACTTCAAACAGTGAAATAATCCTTAATACAACATTTTTAAACATAAAAGATATTAGATATCACAACTAACTCGAATAAGTGTTCTCTAGCGTACTGAAAATAACAAAAAAATTAGCCCAGCTTAGATTGAGTATTAAAGGGGCATCAAGCAAAGCCGCTAACATATGTGCCAAAATCCATACATCCGACAAAGTTAGCAACAAATATTTGAGCTAGCTTCCCACTAACTGTAACAAGGATTCAAAACAAACGTTTTTTTAGGCATAGACCGAGTTTTACCTCCCAGCCAACCAGGCAGGCATAAGTGATAGTTCAATTGGCTTTGAAGTAATTTCATGGAAAATGCTGACATTATTGCAGGAAAAGAAATCTATTCAACTTCAACGAAAAGTTCTGAGACCTGTTGCTTGCCAAAATTAATAGTAAATTCAAGTGTTTTTTTTTTCATACGAGGAGGCACAAAATTAAGCCTTAAACTTATTTCAGATTTAATTTCGTTCATCGAAAGCATTCTCTAAAAAAACCCGGAGCACATTTTTCGTACGCAATGTATATGCGCACTTGTACTTGGAGCCTAAAAACTGAATACCCTGGTCTTAAAACTTAAACAATGAAAAGCGAAAGCATGTCGTGTGGTTTTTTGTTTGTTTTTATGAAAAAAAAATCAGATTTTGTTCAAGCTCATTCTTTCGTAGTTTGACTTATCATTTAATTCTAATTTCATTTCAGATTCATTTACTAAATGAAATTAATCTACTTTCTCCAATAAGAAAAAGCAAATAGAGCGAAAACATGTGATCGAGCTTTAGTTTCAAACGATGATTTAAATTATTATTCTCAGTAGCGGATTATGGGGAAAATGGGGTGGTTCGAATTTTTGCCTACCGCAAAGGTAACCCATCTGTACTATTTTATGACATCCATTTTGGCTGACCGCCAAAGCATACTCGTTTTGAGGTGGAGCGCGTGCCAAAAAACGCCATTTTAGGTCATTTTTTCTTCATCAAAAAGTGCCTAAAACGCTTTTTTTAACTGTTTTTATGAAAATTTTGCCTGCGGCGCAGTACAACTTGTCAAACACAGGGCCCTCATATTGCTTTGGGAAATTTCAGGAAAGTAGAAAATTTCATCGATCATGGGTTAAAGCGTAGATTTAGGATTTGGGGAGGGTGTTCAGACTTTATATAAAATTTCGGAGCATTCGTCAATTTTTTTAAATAATTAAAATTTGAGCTTTTTTGAACGACGTTTTTAGGCACTTTAAAAAAGATTTCAACCAAAAGTTGCATTTTTTGGAGCACGCCAATCACCGTACTTGAAGTGTCTTAAGCTGGCGGATTTTAACTGCGTACTTTTCATGAGTTTTTGAAAATCCCACTCAAATGCTATCGTAATGTTCGGACAGTCGGTTTTTCTAGCGAGAGGCTTCCTGCAAACTGGAACGCTGCCACGAATAACAGAAAGAGAACTCAGTATTACTTAGAACTAAAGTATAGTTTTCTGAAACTATCAAGTTGTCGATGATTGTTTTGAGCTCGTCAGTAATTTTGGATAAAGGTTTTTCGCCACAGACTTGTTTTTAAAAACTTTTGAAAAGGAGTTTTAAATTTTCACTGCTGATATATGAAAAAACTAAAAATTATCAAAAAAGCCAAAAAAAAATTGTTATTGTGAAAATCAAACAGTTGATTAAGTGGTGCCATACAATTGAATTAAAGCAATCGGCAATCTAAATGCCATTTACATTGTTAAGCGTGTGTTGAATACTGCGATTGAAATTACCAGATCATATGAACAGGAGGGCACCGATGTCTCCTGAAATCAAAACAAAATTTAGAAAGGAGTTATATATACTGAAGGAAAGTCCAAGTCATCAAAGGGAGATCGGAACATCTTAAATTTACAAAAGTGTTCCACGCCTGACTGGATAGGCGCACAATTCTGTGTCTGTATGTTCCTGGATTCTAAAGACAAGTCTTTAAACATGTTGCAAAATGCAAGTGGATTCCGCTTACAAAATTTCCGTGCATTCCTCGTACAAATATTTGTAACGTGAATTTTGTCGGCACATTGATTTTGTTGCGGATTCTGCAACGAGCGAATAGAGGTAGTTCATCCAGATTCTCCAAATGTAAGCGGATTCCGCAAATGTAAGCGGATTCCGCAAATGTAAGTGGATTCCGCAATTTAATACGGATTCCGCTTACAATTTACCGATTCCGCTTACAACTTGCGGATTCCACGATAGCCTAAGTTTACTAAACACATATTATTATTGATCATGGATTCCACAAACTAGTTCCGGTTTCCACACATTTTGTTGCTGATTCCGCAAAGTTGCCTGTTTTTGGAGCAATTTTGAGCAAAGCAGTGTTTCAGCTATTTTTCCATGGAATTCAAAACAGCAGAAAAGATCCAAGAAAAAAAGCAATGTTTCGGATTCCGCGACATTCTGATTTTTGCCTATTGCGGAATCCGCTTACAATTCACAATTTTTAAATTGTTTTTATGAAAATCCACTACCCTCTCGAGAAATTCCTAGATTCACCCTGCATCGGGTTTAAAAAAAAACAATGACTGAATTTATCAAACACAAAACTTTGACTTCTAACGTTTTGCTTAAACCTCTCGAAGAGTGGACAGAAACTTTGGGTTCAGGTCCGTTTTTCCTAGCCAATTATGACTACATCAAAGAAATTTTTTGGAGAGTCAACTGTTGTTTTAATTTAAAGCCTTTTTTGTCCTGATTCAAAATCTTTTTAAAAAACTTCTCAGCTTTGAGAACAACAAGTCTGAATATGTTCAGCCTCATTTAGCCAAATTTCAATGAATTCAGACGAAGTTGGCTCTCTTCCCAATTAAATTCGACTATAATTTTAACAATTTTTTAGCTGTTTTCACTTCTAAGTTTTTCATTTGTTGAATCTAATTCAGTCATTTTTTAATGAAACGAAAAAATAGCAAGCTTAGAAAATGGTAATCAATTTTTAAAAAGTTTATTTTGGTTTTTCTTTAAGTTTTTACTCTCTTTTTCTTTATTTGTTATAGTCGGTATGAGCTGTCCTACTTGCTCAGCTACCGACCGGCTATCCTAGTTTCAGTTATCGGGCTGGCAAAAACCAAATTTTGGTTATCGGTATACCTTTAGTCAAGATAGATGAATGTGTTAGCACTAGCGAACTTAACTGAGCGTTAGTTTTATATTACGACTCTTTTTTTTTTCTAAACCAAATCGCAAATATTGGTGCCATTTTGGGGACCTTTACGGTTTTTAATAGCATGTGCTTTGAAATTCGAATCATTATAGGGTAACACAAATAATAATATTTCAATTTATCAAGTGAACCGAAGAAAATTATTTGTTTTAAACAACATAACAATAATCACCCTTGCGATAAGCAATGGTTTTGCAATCGGGTACTAAACTTTTTCCTGTTAACAATTTTGGCACCGGCTTTATCTGGATACATCTTTGCCTTGTTTTATAATGTATTCAAATGTCTCGAGAAACTCCTAGATCCACCCTGCATCGGAGTAAAAAAAACAATGACTGAATTTATCAAACACAAAACTTTGACTTCTAAGGTTTTGCTTAAACCACTCGAAGAGTGGACAGAAACTTTGGGTTCAGGTCCGTTTTTCCTAGCCAATTTTACTACATCAAGGAAAGCTTTTTGGAGTCAACTATTGTTTTATTTCAAAGCCTTTTTTGTCCTGATTCAAAATCTAAAAAAAACTTTCTCAGCTTTGAGAACAACTAGTCTGAATATGTTCAGCCTCATCTAGCCTGAATTCAATTTCTCTTCCCAATTCAATTCGGCTTCAATTTTAACAATTTTTTAGCTGTTGTCATTTGTTGAATCTAATTCAGTCACTTTTTAATAAAACGAAAAAATAGCAAGCTTAGAAAATGGTAATAGTTTTTTTAAAAGTTTATTTTGGTTTTTCTTTAAGTTTTTACTTTCTTTTTCTTTATTTGTTATAGTCGGTATAATCTGACCTACTTGCTCAGCTACCGACCGGCTATCCTAGTTTCAGATAACGGGGCTGGCAAAAACCAAATTTTAGTTATCGGTATACCTTTAGTCAAGGGAATTTCGTTTTGGGAATCTTTTTTTTGCAAAAATTTCAATTTTTTTTACTAAGTTTCAAAAAAGGTCATCAATTGAAGGACCATTTGCTCCCCTTTGTGATCATCTGTAAGTTTATGGCCCTCGGAATAATCCAATTTTTGATTTTTGACTGTTTTGTGAATCTTCGACTTTTCTTGAAATTTAATCTCTCAAATCTGATTTTATCAGTTTATTGGAAATAACGGGTAGTGAGAAGCTCCTCTGCATTAGTGGAATCTCACAAAAACTTTTACTCATGAAGTCACACCCTAGAAAAGGTCAATTTTTTGATTTTTTGACAGTTTATTTAAACTTTTTGACTATTTTCGAAAACTACCCGGCCATATCTTAAATTTGGGTGCAAAACAAAAAACGGGTTGCGGGAAGCTCGTTTGTTCATGCTTCTAAGCCCATATTTTTGTACACAAGATGTTTTGGCCCTCGGAAAAGTAATTTCTTTGATTTTTTGTTGGTTTCTTTTGAAAGCTTATGACTTTTCTCGAAAACTACCCTCGCAAATTTGAGATCTTGGATTAAACTGAAATAACAGATTACGTAAATTTTTTCTGCATAAGTGGTTACGCAAAGTTTCTCAGATAAAAAGGTATGATACTCAGAAATGTCAAATTTTCCTTTGCTGAACGTTTTATGGACTTTTCCCGTTAACTATCCTGCCAAATCAGGTTGCCGAAAGCCTACCTTTATAATTGGCTACGTTTGATTACAAAACTATGCGCTTCAAACGACTGAAACTTATGAAACTTTGACCATTATTTGGAAATTTATGGACTTTACGCGAAAACTACCTGCTTTTTGCAGAAAAAATTATGGATTTTGGAAAGTCGTTTGACGGTTTTTATAGAGTTTTCGACCGTTTTCTAGAAACTTTTAATTTTTTTTAATTTTGCACAAATAAATCTGAGATGAAATGTTAAATTGAACCGCTCGTGATAATTGATCCTGCAGAAGCGGCGACTCCCTAATTTTTTACTCATTAAACTCGTCAAAAGCACCTAGTTGTTTTTAACGAGACAAAATTTTGGTTCTCCCATGTTTTCCATTATATAGTTTTTTTTAAAAGTTTTTATTGTATCACAAGTGGTGCGAAGCTCAGCTTCGCCACTGTGTAAAAACTTGATTTCAGAAATTTTCTAACTCAATATATCTCGCAACTTTTTGATATGCATAATTTATAAACAATGTGTAGCGATATGTAGCTGCTTTTTGTGAATAGTGTTTGCCGGTTGTTAGGTTTTCGTGACCGAGAGGGCTTAGTTTCTATTTTTTTATATTTGACTTTATAATGCTGCTTTTTTGCTGTGTTCTGGATAGTGTTTACGAAGCACAGCTGCTCCTTTATGTTGAAAGTTGCAACGTTCTCAAATTGCATTGAAATATTTTCAAATTGAAAAGAAACGTTGTTTAATTATTGCTGAGTCTTAAAATTTTAAGACTGCTCGTATCAGGGCGAAGTTCTGAATGTCCCGACTGCTTCCCAATTTCTTTGAAATAGCTGTTGAAAACATCAATTAAGAAATATATAACATTTTCAAAAAAAAAACAGTTTCTTATTTTTTTTCTAAACTCAGTCCACACACGCTCTGATAATAACAAAGTGATATGTTTGCATAAAGAAAAGTACTGATTAGACCAAACAGAATGCATCAACTCAATTGGAAAGGTTTTAAAGGCGGGTCAAATCTCGACTCAGGCGTTAATAGCACCAATGAATCGAGCGTTAATTATCCCAAATGGGCCAAACTTGCTACTTTGAAACGCCCATGATTGACAAAGGAAGATCACACGTGTATGAGCTTTTCAAATTTGAGCTCAGGACAACAATACTTTTCAGATGATAAAAAAAATTTTGTCAAAAATTGCTAGTTCATAAAACGTCTTTTTTCTGTAGAACAAAAAAATGACCACGAGCAAAAATTTTCGATCACTTTCTTTGAAAGTCAGAACAAAACGCTTTTCTCAATTTCCTGACTTAAAAGGTTCAAAGTATGTAAAATGATTAACATCAATTGTCGGTTCCCTTTCAAGTCCTAAATGAGATACTTTTTGCGATGACTTTGAAAAATTTTTGTTTCGTTTGACTTCGCGGGATTTTTCCTTAAAGAATTTATGATGAGAGAAAAGTTGAAATAGTGCAAACATTTTGAAGTTCCATAAAAATTATAATCATCATGATCAAATTTCATTATTAATAATTTAAACAAATTTTCAAATTGGCCTCAAGATCTTGCCGTTTTTCCGACTCGTTTTTAGGTTGCCTTGGGCACCAATAAAATCATCTTTTAGATCTCTTTCTTAAGGTGAAAACTCCTGTGAATGCAATTGTAAAAATAAAAATTAATTAGAATTTAGATGTCATTTTCTAGTCAGATTTAAACTTTCGCTGTCAAGTTGGTTCTTCAAACTACACATTTTATCTAAATGAGGTTCATTATTGTAACTTCGCAGCCAGCTGGACTTTAATTGACATCTTTTTATTCAATGCGCAAAAACTGTCTAATTGTAGTCTCGAGCTGTAAAAAATTTTAATGCGCTTCATTTTTTCATACTTTTTTTAAATATTAAACTCAAATTACCCTTTCGGTTATAACTAAAATGAGAAAGGTAGCAGATTTATCATATTTCATTATTTTTGCAATCAGTATAATTTTTGTACAGTTTATACAAGTTAAATGTAATAATGAATATCAGCTTCAAAGCCACTTGATGTCCAGTTATAATAGGTTGGTTCGACCAGCGATGAGTCACACTTTACCTGTCAACATAACTTTCGGCGCCGCCCTCTATCAAATGGTGAATTTTGATGTTAAGAAAGAGACCATCACTAACTTGATGTGGCAGCGAGTTTTCTGGACCGATCACTTTTTGAAGTGGGATCCGAGCGACTTCGGAGGTATTGAAGCGACTCGGTTCCTACAGAAGGACATCTGGATACCAGACTTGCTACCCTATAATGATGTAGGAGTCTATGACATGACGAAGAATAGTCTGACAGTACCTCTGTCTGTTACTTACGAGGGAAAAGTAAGTGATAACTATGATTGGACCGTTTTACTTCGAAGTTGCGCCTTGGTTGCCAATTTCAGTTTTTCGTGTGGTGTCTAACATCGATAACAGTTTTTTTTTGTTGAAAATTTGATACAACTTTTGATGAGTATTCCTGTGTCTTCAAAAAATGTTTCGTCTGCATTTGGAGAACATAGGTGTGGTAAGTTATCAAGAGATTTAATACTCTACATCTGCTAGGAAAGGAACAACGCACGAGGAGTTAAATCTTCATTGCGAACCCCTGCGAATTTACTTCATCAGGAAACGCGTGCAAATTTTGTTTTACGTTTTTATGACCTAAGAAAAATTGCCTCACCCACTAGTTCGGATTGGGTGGTGAAACTTGAACCGCAGACTTTTATTGGATTATTTGATCAGGTGTGTTGCTCAGCATTGATGGATTATATGAAGAACTCCAGAAGAACAGCTACAAAATTGGGCAATTTTAGGTCCTAAGAGTTCCTCAGCGGTTTAACATAAAAACAATTTATATTTACGTCATTTACAATCTTGATGAAGAGTCCCAATTATGATTAGGTATCGTGGCTGGTTCCAGTTACCATGGAGACCATTTGCATGATGGACGTGACTAACTTTCCCTTCGATAGTCAGCACTGCTTGATTGAATTGGGGTCGTGGCAGTACAATGCGAACGAGGTGGACATCGCGTGTGAGTCGGACGCCTTCGACACTTCTCCCTACATACACCACACTCAGTGGCAGCTCAAAGGTCAACATGTTCATTTTGCCAAATAGAAATATCATCTGAATTGAAGTTTCTGGGTTTTTTTTTTTAGATAACCAGGCATTAAAAAAGGGGCTGTTTTCTTCCTGTTTTCCCCCTAAAAAACTGCCGTTGAATATAATTGTGATAGTAGGTGCCATTCATTCGTCCACGTTTTTTTTAAATCAATTTGGCTTTTCTTAGTGATTACTAAACATCTTTTAGTTCATTTGATTGCTTGGTCAGCAATACTGCGAGTTTTGGATAAATGTTTTCCGTACTTTCCAGACACCTCGTGTATACGACACGAAGCCACCTACTCTACAGGCAGATACAGCTCCCTAGTGTTCAGCATGACCTACGAGCGACTGTTTTCCTTCTACATCCGCAATCTCATCCTCCCAAACGCAGTCCTCCTTTTCCTCAGTGGACTCACATTCTTCATCCCCTGTGAACTCGGAGACAGAGTCGGGTACGGGGTCACGGTCACTTTGGCTCTCTGTGTCAACCTTATCATAGTCATCGACTTCATCCCAGAGACCTCGAAGACGATCCCAAACGTCTGCAACTACTTTTTAGTGAGTATCTTCCTATCCGGAGTGTCACTGATTATGGCCACAGTTTCAATCAATCTCAACTGGATTTACAGCAACATACTACCCAAAATTAAAAGAAAAGCTACAGACCAGAAAAATGCAGCTCTGGATGAACCAATGGAAAATAAATCGGGTAGTTTGGGAAATGATGAAGCGGGCCAGGGAGTCTTCGATATCCTCCCAAATTCGAGAACCCAACTTCGCAAACCTGCTTTCGGCAAAGTGAACGACGAAGATTCTTCTTCGCCACGTGACTGCTGCGCCATGGTGAACATTAAGATGAAGAGCTTCTTTAGCCGAAGTACCATTAGGAAGATCGATGGAGTTTTGGGTGCAATGTATATGATAGGGTCCACTCTTTATACTGTCCTGTTTTTGCTTTCACTTAAATGAACTCTAAAAGCTTAGATTGGCACAATTCTTTCTGTACTAAATATCATATCGTCTCTTGTTGGTTTTTTGATTATGGGAATTAGCATTTTTTGTCAATTGTGTCAAGAAGATTTAAATTTAGAAATAAATGAGTTATTGAAACGTACCTCTTTTTTGAATTATGTTGTTTCGCTTCTATTTTTATCCCCAAGAATGACAAAATCAGAAAATAGCTTTAAGTAAAATATCACCTATACTGGTCAAGCTCTGATACTCGTTTTGCGACTAATACGCTAACTTATGTAGAAACAGCAGTACGGCAGAAAAATACTGAATCAAGATGAAGTTTGTTTTGCATGCGGTAGTTGTAGCAAAATAGGTTGTATTTTTCATACACAAGATAAAGAATAGGGAGTATCTTTAAAAGAAAAACAAAAAAGTTGCTTTTACTGCTGATTTGAAAAGGTTTTTGTCTCTCAAAAAGATCTGGCCCCATCGGGAATCGATAACTTGATCTATTGCGGGATAATAAATATCAACTGCCGGACATCAGCACAGCCTGAAGAACTAGCACTTATTTATGCGCGGATGAATGATAATCATAATCATAATAATAATCATCATCATAATAGTGGGTCATAATCATAATAGTGATCATAATCCAAACAATATTTAGTTACAGTGTCATTTATAAAAATTGAAAACACAAATTGAAATCGTATGAAAAAACATCACATCATTAAACCAGCACGGCACAATGAATTTTTTTAAGATCCAAATGGTATTAAATGTAAACACTGTGATATGCGTTGCGATATCAGTTGAAAACAAGTTGTAATTCAATACTGTATTTTTACTATTGAATTTAGGTTTTCTTATTCTTTTGTTTTGTTGTTGTACTGAGAGTTAGATCAATGTTACGAACTCTGATCTCTCGCTTAATCTCAGTGTCATCACTCACGTATGACCTTGAGCATACCATACAGTAATGATTAAGCACCAAAGGTTAGCTGTACATACGTATATAAATACTGCTACTGCAGTAGCGGTATGACACACCACCCTCGGTGGAAGAAATAAATTATACAACATAAGTACGATAATTTATTTAAAAAGAGTTCAATATACTCAGTTCAAAGAAAGTCTCTTGGTTAATTGACGATTTTAGATTATGGACTTTTCAGTTTTCTTCCAGCTCTATTTCCCAACTCGGGTTCCAATCGACTCCCTCGTCTAGTGTAGCGTATCCGAATTTTCGCATGAACAGATGCCTTTCGAGTCGTCGCACTTTTGATTCCATTGGTTTGTCGTTTCGATCTTTGAAATCTCTCAGTTGATTTCTGTATTCTTTAAGAGCCTCCTTTAAAAGACCTCCCCCTGTGAGATTTTCTGATATTTCTTTAATTGAGTGCTTTATCGGATCTCCGAATCGTTTAGGTTCTTTGTTTTTCGTTTGTCTGGAGCTTCGTCTAACACCTGACTCTTCCGTACTTGATTCGTCCGAAAATCCTTGTGGTGGTTCGAAATTTGTGTCCATTTCCGAACTTTGTTGTGGATTTCCTCGAATTTCGTCCGCAACTCGCTGTACTCCTCTTTTTAACAATTGGTCCGCGTACTTCTCCCATTCGGACGGCGCTAAATTGCGATTGTGAAATGTGTCGACTATGTCTTCTAAAGGAGTGTGAGAGTCAATGCATTTCAATTTCGGCCGCTGTTTAGCCTTTGGCGTAGAACTGGACTGAATTTTGGTGTCTACTCTTTCCTGCTTAGATGTCGATTGCTCTTGTTCCGGGTTGGCTGCAGTCGCAGTTCGGCTTGTCCCCTGTTGCTGCTTGTTTCGGCCTTTCTTTTCCTTTCCGCTCTTCTCCGGCTTGTCTGTGTTATTTTCTTCTATAGTTGATTTTGGGCCCGCCAAATTGGGTTTTGCTCTTTTGACTGCCAGATTCAGACCTCCCCCGGATTCTGTGTCCTTAGAAGTAACTATTGTTTGGCTTTTCTGAAAACGCTCTGTGGGATTCATTGCATCTGCGATTTCCATTTCTCCTTGAAGTTCGTCTTCTGATCCCAGCTCCTCAAGTAATTCTGGAGAACTGATTCTCTTAAACTTTTTGTAGGTTCCAACGATGGACTTTTACTCGTGCTTCGCTGATTTTCTTGTGTCAGTACCGTTTTCGATTGTGCTATATCCGATTTCCTATAAATCGAACCGGCCGATGTCTTAATTGTTGAGTCCGTTTCTGAAGCAATTTTCCCTTTTAGTGGTCTGGTTAAGGCTTGTCCGCTTTTCCCTAGTGGGTCCTTTCGGAGTATTGTCTTGGGTGGTGATTTACATTGATTTTCTACTTCGTCCTCCACAAATCCTTTCTCCCAAGAGTAGATCATTTCCTTTCGAAGGTCGGGATTGAGTAGCCCTGTCTCATCCACTAATTTCCTGATATCGTTTTTAGCCGCGTCTCTTCTTTCGTTGTTCCAACGGGCGTTCGCCTCCAACAATTCCTTTAGAGCTTTGGCCCTTTATTTGTCTCTGTCCGATGTTAACTGCTGCTTGTGCAGTGGGCTTGTATCCCTGCTAAGTTGTCCCTTGCGCACTATTTTGAGATTCTCTCTCGACTGGTCAATTCTCCGTTTCAGTTGGGAGGCCGTCAGTGCTAAGCGTTCCAAGTGTTGTTTGTCTAAGTAATCAGAATTATTTAAAAACCTATCTCTCACAATTTTAAATTCTCTTTTTGGTAGTCTGCCGAAATGTGCTTGAAACGGGGATACTTGAATTGTTTTCTGCTTGTTCCACCGTAAATCTCTCATTATAGTGCTGAGACATAGTTTGATTGATTTATTATTTTCTTCGAGCATCATCACTCCCAGTCTTCTTTTTATAGTTTGGATTGTACGTTCGACCAAACCACAACCTCTGTGGTCCCCCACCGGACAAAATGTTTGCTCGATATTGAATTGCGAACAGAATTTTTTTAGCGTTTTCCCCTTAAAGCCTGAAAATTGGTCCGAACGAATTGATTCAGGGACTCCATGTGTGTCGATATATGATCTCAAGAATTTTACTGTGCTCTTTCCACTTGTGGATTTCATAACCTTCACTGATGGAAATTTTGAGAATCGATCTATAGCTACTAAAAGGTAGATTTTTTTTCCTTTTTGATTTTCTATAGGCCCCGCGTAGTCTAATTGTACCTCCTAGCCCGGCTGCGTGAGCAGTGGCAGTGGTTTTGACGATTTTTTCGAGATAAGGTATTTTACATTCTTACCATATCTGGTACAGCTACGGCACTCCTCTGCCAAATTCACGATGTCCTTATTCATATGAGGCCACCACAGATATTGCGCTGCTCCCAACATAGCCTCCTGGCCTGGATGCCCTCGATGTATTCGTTTCAGGACAGCTTGTCTTAGTTGTACTGGAACTGCTAGCCGGTTATTCACCAAGATGCAGTCGTCCTGAACTGCCATCTGTGACCACAACGGATTTGTATAAGGTCCCATCAGTTCAAATCCTTGTTTGTCCCCTCTTTCGATCACTCGTCTGAGGCGGTCCATCCACGTGTCTTCTGTGGTCAATTCTGCTAGTAAACTTTTGTCGAACAGTTTTGCTAGATTGTCCAAGGTCTCTACTTGTTGCTGCTTTTGCAGTTTCGTTTTTCCCAGTCCCTTTGGCGGTTCTATTGAGCACACTTCCTCTTCACTCTCCGCCTCTTCTGTGGTTGTTAGGTCCATCTCTATTACTTGCACCTCACTGAGTTTCCGTTCCGCCGATGCGATCGGTTTAGTCACTGCTGAACTTGAATTGTGTTCCGAGCTGTCCCTGACTTCTTGGGTGTGTGCCACCAATTCTCTATTTTCCTGAACATTGTCTTCTCCGCCTATTAGCTGCCAGAATGAGAGTAGTCTTTGATCCGCTTCTCTTTGTTGATCCGGTTCCAGCTGCCATTTCACCCGTGATGCATGTCGTGTTTCACTGTCGGAGCTATCTCTGTTTTTCCGGCCCCCTCGAATTATTTTTCTTGTACGCTGAACTGTCTCTGTGATCTCCTCCTCTTCCGAAAGTTCATTTGTGTTGGATAGTGAGCGGTTCCACTTTGGGTCCATTAGACTCTCCTCGCGCTCCTCATTCCGCCATTCTTGTGGTGAGCTCGACCACCAGTCGTATGATCTGTTTCCGTTTCCTGACATCTCGATCCTTGAGTCTGTTTTTTTTAATTTCCGGTACTGGTTGTTTTATGATTTTGAATTTATTTAAGACTGACTGTTTGTTGGGTTGATTTGACGAAAAAGTGATTTGCTTATGCTGAACTGTTGTGTTTTGCTGTTTTTGCAGTCGTGAAAACTGTTTTCTCTCGTTCCGGTCGAGCTTTGTTCGGTTTTAACCGTTTTGGTTGCCATAGCAACCATTACTTGATGACTGTTTCTTAGCATTCCTTCTAGAACATTCTAGAACGTTTTCGTTCCGGTTGAGCGACCCAATTTCTTTAAGCCTACTGTTCCAGCAGTCGAACGCTTCATGAAAGGAGTTTATTGTCGCTACTACAAACTTTTCGTCTAATTCTGATTCGGGCCAGGGATCATTGAAGGGATCACGCGATAAATAATCAACTATGCCCATGTCCCTCCCCGGAATGTGAACTATTTTGAACTGATATGGCAGTAACCGGTCAACCCACCGGGTTAAACGTGATTGGTAGGTCTTGTTTGATTTGTTGACATCCAATGCTGTTGTAAGCGCTTTATGGTCAGTTGCAATAATAAATGTTGTCCCAGGAGGTAGTGTTTATATCTATCTACTGCCCAAACAACTTCCAATAACTCCAATTCATTTGTTGAATATTTTTTCTCTTGGGCATTTAGGTATCGGGATGCGAATGAAATTGGGACCCACAGGCCTTCATCATTTTGTTGTTCTAAAGTAGCCCCTAACCCATCATGGCTAGCATCGCATTTAACTCGTGTTTCTCGAGTCGCATCGTAATAATGTACTTTTGTTATACCTGCCACAGCTTCTTTTATAGCATTAAACACTACGGTGTGTTCCTCCCCCCACTCAAATTTTTTCACCGGGAGTTTCATGTTTTTTAACTTTTTCTT